GCACACATGCACATGCCTATACACGCAATGACACACATGGGAGGAGGGGAGGAAGAGAGAGAGTGCCAACTCTGTGTTGTCAATGTCATTCCCGTCTCTTAACGTTAATTTCCCACACTGGGTCTGCCTCCTGTTTTCCTTGGTTTGTTTTGGAAGTCATTTAATGTTTTTTCTCCCGGATCTTTAGGGGGAATGTTTAGTCCACTTAATTTTGTTGCTTTGGGCTCAGTAATAGAATAATTAAGGCTATGAATTCTCTGGAAACCATAATGCAGGCTTTATCCATTCATTTTAACTTATTCCTCCTTATTCTTTTCTAAATAATGTGTAATTATGTTCTTAAGTTCTCTTTTAGGTTTCCAACTATTTGGAAGTTCGGTGGTTGGATGCCCTGTGTGTTTACTTTTCATTATTAATATCTACTTTTATTGTTTCTTGGTCAAAGAATGTGGCCTGAATTATTTATGCCTTCTGCCGTGCACTGGCAGTTTATTTGTGGCTTAAGCGTGGTTAACTTTTCAAATGTCCCATGGCTTCTTGGCAAATGCTGTCCTCTTTGTTTATGGGGTAGGATGTTTTATACATGTCTCCTACTCAGTCCTTTAAATTAAACTAACTCAGATTTCATTCGTCTTTGTGCTTGTCTATTAATCAGTCCCAGAGTCCAAGTGTGCGCCGAGGTTTCCACCTCTGTCTTACACTTTCAGGCATTTCTTTTGGAGGCATGGAGTTCCCTATGCAGGTTGTCCACCTTACAGTCCTCCTGCTTAAAACTCCCCCAACACACACACACACACACACACACACACACACACACACACACACACACACACACACACGCACGCACGCACACACGTATGCACGTGTGCTGGGATTGCAGATGTGGACCACATGCCCAGTTCCAGCATCTGTATTTTATCCATTTCAACACTGTCCTATTTGATAAGCAAACTTTTTCCAGTGTCCCACTTTGGCAGTGGGTGTCCTATGGCTTATATAATGGCTTTCATGACAAAGCCTCTTGAGCATCTGAGCTGTTTCCCTTGGTCTCTGATGCTTTTAGAGTTCCAATTCTCCTCTCTGGCTGCCTTGCTTGTTGGGTTGATATGAATAACATTTGGCCAACCATTTGAGAGTTGAGTGAGGACTATAGCGATGGAGCTGGCCAGGCAGAGTTGTTTTACTTTCTTCTCCACACACTGAATTGGCCCTGTGCTAGAACAATTTCTCTTAACTTTGTGAGTGTGTGTGTGTGTGTGTGTGTGTGTGTGTGTGTGTGTGTGTACATGCCCGCCCAAATTTCTTCAGGAGTCTAGAGCTGACCTTACAAATCATGGAGAAGCCCAACTGTCCAGGGGCTGTTGAGCATTGCTCTGCTTACAAATGGCTCTGGATTGTTTGCTGCAAGCAATAGATGATGGGCTACATCTCCTACCATGAAAAGGTTCTACCTAGAATTGTCTTTGCCAACTCACTGCCATGGTTTGCTTCAGCCCTGGCCACTCCATTCCAGACATGGTGTCCCTTAGCTAAGATGCTTTGAGACCAGAAATGCTTCCTATTTGGGAATACATAAGGAGACCTTTGGGGGAATGGAATCCAGGTATAAACAGAAAACCCATAGGTAATTTTACACAATATTTTGTCTTGTTTCATGACATAGAACTTTCCATTCATGATGTCATCTTAAAAACTCTAAAACTAGCCAGGCATTGGTGGTGCACGCCTTTAATCTCAGCACTGGGGAGGCAGAGGCAGGCAGGTGGATCTCTGTGAGTTCGAGGCCAGCCTGGTCTACAGAATGAGTTCCAAGACAGCCTCCAAAACAATACAGAGAAACTCTGTCTCAAAAAAACCACACACACACACACCTCTAAACCTTTGGGGATTTGGGGTTGCACATCACTACTTTTCTTGCCACCAAAGCAGAAGACCTAACAGAAACAGTGTGGCTAAGCAGGGCTGGCTTTGGCTCACCGTTTCAGAATGTGTGGTCTCTTGTGACAGGGTATCATGGTGGATCCCACGGCTGAGAGAGCCAGCTACTGGAATTCCTGTCATCTGTAGCTGGAAGCAGAGGGGTCAGCTAGAAATGCAGCTAGCTGGCAACCCTAAAACTCTGTGCACCCCCAGGTGGCCTGTGTCTGCCAGCTAGGTCTCATGTCCCAAAGACCTTTCTTTGTTCATGGCCTTGCAGAACAATGTTTCCAGCTAGAGACCAGTGTTCAAACACATGAGCCTGTGGGGGTAGTTTACATGCAAATGGGATGTAAACTCCCTATAGAAGGCATTGAGGACTTCTAGATGTCTTCTCTTGTGGTCCCTACTTGCAGAACTGCTCGAAGAGCTGTGAATTGGACATTAGTTCCTCTGACCTCCAACTATTCTTTGTATGTATGTACATCCATTGGTAGTCTCGCCCAGCCTTGGGCATAAGTACAGTTTGACTCTCCAGTTTTCAGAGATGGTGCAAGCTGGTGGTTCTCAGGGGCTAACATCAAGCAAAAACAGCAACCTCCTTTCCCCTCCCCTTTTCCTCATTTTAAGGTTGTGCATTTTCCTTGCACATACATATGCACATTACACATGGAAGTGACCTACATGTGGATGTCAGGAAATGAACCCAGGTCCTCTGCAAGAGCACTAAGTGCCTAGCCCCTGAGCCACCTCTCACTTCCCCACCCCCTTCCTTTTAAAAGAAGGCCTGTAGAAGTCGCAGGCCACTTCCGTGCTCATCACCTCCTTGGGGCACACGTACTAAGCAGGTTAGGAGACCGTGTGGAATCACACCCATTTCCTTGGCACCAAAGAGAAATGGCTTCCCTAAACTCGTGTATTTGGGGAAGAGTGTGGGTCCCAGTGTGAACCCATAAGGTCAGGAGTGGGAAGCAAGGCTGAAGCTTGAAGCTAGCAGTGACAAGTATGTGTAGCCACAGCAATAGAAAGACATTGTAATCAGGGCTTCCCCTACCCCATAAAAGAAGGTTTATCAGTCTCAGTGGAGATATAAGTGTGTTTGCCCAGGAATCATACTAGAAGCATTCTTGAAGGGTAGGATTTTAAAGTCGTGTATGTGTGTGTGTGTGTGTGTGTGTGTGTGTGTGAGAGAGAGAGAGAGAGAGAGAGAGAGTATTGTGTAGTTTTTTGTATGTGTTATTATTATTATTATGCACACACACAAGTGTTCTAAGGATTGAACCCAGACCCCTGAATATGCTCGAGACATTCTATCACCAAGCCACATCCCCAGCCCCTTTTTTAATTTTTTATTTTTACTTTTGTTTTGCTTCACTGAGATAGGGTCTCACTAAATAGACCTGGCTGGCCTAGTATTCATTATGTACGGTAAGCTGTCCTTGAACTCACAGAGCTTCACCTGCCTCTACCTCTCAAACTCTGTGTGTGCCATCATACATGGCCCTTTTTATCTTTTATCTTGAGACATCATCTCACTAAGTTGCTCAGATTGGTCCAGAACTCACTCCCACCTTGACCTCCTATACTCTGGAAGGGCAGATGTAGGCCATCATACCCTGTTGTTTTGTTTGGGGACAACTGAGGCTCAAAAGTTCATGCAGTTGATCATCATTTATTAGTTAGAAGAGCCAAATTTCATGACAACTAATCCATCCCATCCTATTTCCATTACCCAGGTTGAATCTTCCATCCCCAAAATCCAAAATCTAAAATTTTTGGACACCAACATACCTCAAGCTTTGGATGTGAGATCATGTATTAGTTACTTTCTCACTCCTGTGCCAAAACCCCATGGCAAAGAAACTTAAGGGGCTGGGAGACAGCTTACTGGAGAAGGTGTGTACAAGTACAAGGAACTGAGTTTCATTCCCAGCAACCACATAAAAAAGCCAGATGTGACCTGGTGTGTCTGTAACCCCAACACTGGTGAGGCAGAGACAAGCAGATCTCTGGACTTGATGGTCATCAGTCTAGCCCAACTGATGAGCCCCAGGTCCTGATGAGAGACCCTGTCTCAAAAATAACAAGGCTCCTGAGAAGCAACACCAGAGGGGTGACCTGGAAAACACACCAAACCACACACACACACACACACACACACACACACACACACACACACACACACACACACACACTGCACCCCGAGTGCATGCATGTGTGCGTGCATGCACAGGCGCTCATGTACATTCACACACACACACACACACACAGGAGAAAGGAAGGGTTTATTTTGATTCACTATTTGGGAGGATGCAGTCTGTCATGACAGGGAAGGGACGGCAAGGGAGTGTGAGGTAGCTGGTCCCATTGCATCTGCGTTAGGGAGCAGAGAGAGATGAAAGCCAATCTGCTCATCAGACTTTTCAGGACCCCCGCCTTGACTCTCAGCCAATCGTAGACTTCACTTTCTTCAGTTCAACCTTCCTGGAAGCACCCTACAGTAATGCCCAGAGGATGTGTGCTAGTAACTCCAAATCCAGTCAAGTTGAAGGGCATTTCAGAGTTTGCCTCTTTGGATGGGTGCTTCATACCTGGTGCAATGCTTCTAAGTCTTAAAACATCCAAAATCTGAAATATTTTTGATCCCAAATGTTTTTGGAAAAGGATATTCACCCTTGTTTACATGACAGTATTGAGAGACTGAGGGTGGAAAAGTCCCCCAGAGAGAGGAAGAGGACTCATAGGCCCACGGTGTGGGAGCCACCTGACTCAGGAGAAAGAGACAGGGCCCCTTGTCAGCACCTATGGTGGCAGCTGGGCTCTGATGGCCTCGGCTTCTGCTGATCGCACTCTTGAGAAGAAAGTCGGTCCCCTGAGAGTTCAGGACTCTGGCTGCCAGGAATTGGAGCTTCCCACTCTTTCCTAGCTTTTAGCTGCAGATCAGATCCCAACAGATGGGCCCTGGCAATGAGACCTCCTGCAACCCCGGGATGAGGTGGGAGAGAGAGGGCTGCTGTGGCCGGAAGTCGAGGGTGCCTGTCTGTGGCCCCCGCAGCATCTGAGCTGTGTCTCTGTCCCCACAGTGAATGGATACCACGCGTCAGGGACCCCGGCGCACCCTCCAGAGACTGCCCACATGAGTCTCCGAAAATCCACCGTTGATTCCCAGGTAAGGGGCTGCTAAGGGAGGTAGGGGCAGCTGAGTGTCTAGCTCAGGAAGGATAGAGTTGGGAGTCAGGGACTGTGATCCTTTTCTGCCATGAGTGGAAAGTATCCCTGGGTTGCCCTAACAGTTCTTGATGAGGGGTGGGTTTGCAGAGTTGCAGTTCATTGGTTTTCTAGAAATCAAGGGAAATTTGGAACAGGAGATAATGGATTATAGTCATCAGGGCAGGGAGATCTGCTCTGCGAGCCACAAATCCAACAGAGTACAGATTTCCTGTCAAGTTAGCCATGAGAGCCAGCCAGGCCATTGTCCTTGTAGTCCTATGCTGTGTCCATCCTCAGTCACCCAGAATGGAATTTAGGAAAATGTGACCATCTCATTCACTAACACAGCGTAAAAATCGCTATAGGATGCAAAGAATTGTGTGTGTGTGTGTGTGTGTGTGTGTGTGTGTGTGTGTGTTCATTTTTGAGTCAGGGTCTTATGTAGCCCAGGTTGCCCCCAAGATTTTGATCCTCCTGCCTCCAGCTCCCAAGTATTGAGATCACACACATGTCACCATACCCAGCTGAAAATTTGTTTTAAGATTCCCAAACTGCTGTCTCATTCGTCATCCAAACTGGCATGTGTGGCATCGTGAGATGGGTATCAATAGCATTCATGAGCATGGGACCACAGAGGAGCAAGCCCATGAGATTGAGTCAAGGGTCATAGTGAACCCAATAAAATATTCTGATTTTTATCAGAGGAGGGGATAGTCTCCTTACAAATTAAGAGTTTCTTAAAGAAACTTCCAAGCCCTGTCATACTTTCTCAGTAGTCAGTGTGGCAGCCTACAGGGGTGATGGTGATGATGGTTGACGGCCATGGTGGTGATACTGCCGAGAATGATAGCTGTGGATGCTGTGGCCTCTGTGTGGTCACTGAAGGAAAGAATCTGTGCTCTGTGAGTGCCATCAGCTAAGATGTGGCTGCCAGCTGCAATGAAACAAAGGGTGTTGAGTTTGGGAACTTGTCCTCTCAGGGTGCTGAGCATTGATTGAGCCCAGGTTCAGTAAACTGTGGTAACAGAGAACTCCAGGCTCAGTGTGAGGCAGGCCTTTCAAGTCTCCTGCTTCTTGGATGGGATCTGATGTGAGCAGGATGTGCATTCCCAGCCAGCCCCCAGATGCCAATGGAGACCATGCAGTGTTGCTTGTAGAGACCATGTCTGGCTAGTTAACAGTACACAGGACTGTGTCTGCTCCCCTCACGTCACTTGTCACGAATCAACCCTGACTTTGCGTGTCCTGTTGAGTCACCAATAGCCTTCTCCATGAGTTGATCAGTGTGTTGGAAGGGAAAAGGGCTTGTCATCTGACTTAGGAGTGTTTCTGAAGACCTGAGCCTATTCTGCTGCAGTTGAACCACAATAAAACCATGCTGCTATTCCAGCACCATGAGGAAGGACACTGGAAATAGCTCCCCATTCTTCCTTCCCCACTGAGATGTGACTCCCCAGTCTCCAGAAGTACTGTGAGGTTCCTACTCAACCATATAAAGCATGCCTACTTCTGGGGCAGCTTAGAATCTGAAAGCAGATGTAACAGTGTGCTGTAGGTCTTGGGCAGAGGGATTTCTCCTCCTATATCTGTTCTTGGAAAATATTCACATATTTATACATATTCTGATTTATATGTAAGGCTGTTCATACAAGCCTTATTTATACCCCTGGAACACTGGACACAATCTAACTGTCCAACAACAGGAGATGGGCAAAATGGCTTCTAATGCTGGCTGTATAGACGGTTGGTGATATTACACAGCCAATAAAAAACATCCTCCTGAAGAAAATGTAGTGACTTGGGAAATGCTTCCAACTTAAATCAAGTGGGAGGGCTGAAGAGATGGCCCAGTGACTAAGAGTATACTGTTCTTCCAGAGGACCTGAGTTCAGTTCCAAGCATCCATATCAGGCATCTCACCATAGCCTGTAGCTCCAGCAGCTAGAGTTACTAGAGTCTAGTTCCAAGGAATGGCACCCTCTTCTTACCTCCATTAGAATCTGTACTCATATGTGCATGTGTATGCCATGTGTGTGCATGTCTGTGTGCATATATGTGTGCTATGTGTATGCATGTATGTGCATATGTGTGCACATGTCTGTGCCTGTGTGTGAATGTATGTGCATGTGTGTGTTTGTGTGCCATGTGTATATGTGTGTACATATGTGTGCTCATGTGTGTGTGCTGTGTGTGTACATGTATGTGTGCCCTGTGTATGCATATGTGTGTGCATGTGTGTTTGTGTGTTTTGTGTTCATGTGAGTGTGTGTGTGTTTGTGTGTTGTGTATTCATGTGTGTGTTTGTGTGCTGTGCGTGTGTGTGTATGTGTGTGTGCATATGTGCCTGTATGTGTGCATGTGTGTAGATTAATAAGGGGATACAGTCCTATTTAGAAGAAGGACAACTGTGCTTCTGAGACAAGGAAGACCAGATAGTCCCATAATGGCCTAACTGCATCTCAGTCTGAGTTTCTCCACTGGAGACACTTGATGGCATCTTGGATTTTGATTGTTACCACTGGAGAGGGTATGTCGATGGATCTCTGTGAGTTCAAGGCCAGCCTGGTCTATAGAGTGAGTTCCAGGACAGGATCCAAAGCTACACAGAGAAACCCTGTCTTGAAAAAAAGAAAAAGAAAATACAAATCACATTGAGCTTGCAGAAACCTGACCACAGAACATGAGTAATTTTTATTTTGTTTCTATTTTCTTCAAGTTTCCTAAGATCAACACATTTCACCTCTATAAAAGACAGATAAGCTTTTTTATTTAAGAGAATAAAACTGGGATGCTGGGGAGAGGGCTCAGATGGTGAAGTGTCTCTTGTGCAAGCCTGAAGACCTGAGTCCAGTCCCCAGCACCCACAGAAAACGCAGACTGTGGTGGTGATCTTGTAACCCTAGGAAGTGGAAACAGGAGGGTCGGGGGTTCACTGGCCAGCCTGCCTAGTGTTGTCGGTGAACTCTAGGGCAATGACAGAAAACAAAGTAGAGAACTGTTGAGAATGATTTCTGCCACACCCGGTGTATGTTCACATATATGTGTGTGTGCATGTACACACATGCCCACACCCCCACACACAAAGTTAATGAAGGTATATGGTGCTGAGTTTCCAGGGAATTCCGGCCAGCTCCTGGGTCCAGGTCTGATAGACAGTGACTGCTACACAGTCAGGCTAGCAGAGTATTCTTTTTGGATAACCCTGAAGTTCAGGCTTCATCAAAGACACAAAAATGAACAATGTAGTATACACAGAAAGGGTAAATCTGCATCTATTCCCTGCATTCCAGAACTGTAAAGTAGATCCTTTAGGATTCTTTTAGACTGTGAAAAGACAACATTTGAATACAGAAGCTGCTACTTTTTAATCTGTGTGTGAACCTCTGAAACTAATTATCACAAGAGTTCTAAAGGCTAACCATAAATGGGTTGAGAGAGTCTCCCTTTAAAGACATCAGGACACAGAAGATGTTTAAGCATACACAGTATTCTTCAATGTACAGGGGTTTACTCTCTATCCCAGGCTGTCCATCATAACTCATAACTCCTCTTGGTAATAACTGAGAGCTGGGGACATATCTCAGTGGTAGAGTCCTTGCCTACTGTATCCAAGGCCCAGGGTTCAGTCTCTGGCATGCACATGCATATAGACAGTAATTGAAATATGAGTGAATGAAGGGCCGCTTGAGAGGCAGGATTTGGGGTCAGAGTGATCAAGCCCAGATTTGCAAAGTACTGGCTGGCTTCTCTCTCTTTGAGCAGGTGAATGGCAAAGAATGGTAGCAGGGAGGTGCAGCCACACCTAACGACCCTACATTTCTGGGTCATAAATAGAACCCATGGCAGGCTGCCCAGGAGCTCCTGAGGCACTTTTAATGCTTTCTCCTTTGTCCAGGTTTGGGAGACCAGGGTGAATGGGTACAGGTGGTGGTGGTGGTGGTCTGGTGCCGCTCAGTGGACAGCTTCAGTACTGCAGTCACCAAGTATGCTGCTTCCTGGGTCCTGGATAAATAGGCACCTTCTTAGTTGGGAGAGAGCCCAGGGGTCAAAGGCTAGTAGTCTTGCCAACCTGGTGGAAGCAAATCCTAGCTTGTGCATTCTTTTCCTGCACACATCTACCTGGACCTTTTTGTAATCCATCTGTCCACCATTCTGACTTCCCCAGAAGACACAAAGTAAAAGAGGAAGGACTCGGGACTCAGGGCGTGGGCACCAAACAGGATGTGTGGAAGGGTGCAGTTTAAGTGGAGAAAGATCTGAGAGTCTGCATCTCTGCAGTCCTTCCCCGGGCCTTTACTTCAGTAACACATGCCCCATTGCACACTTAGGTCTTTGCTAGGCTGTGAGGCACAGAACAGCTCAGCCCTAGCTGTAGTAGGGCAGTGGGTCAACAGCTGTCTAATTCCATCACTGGTAAGGGCAGGAGGGAGTGTGCACAATGAGAAGCTAAACTCGTGGTGGTAGGAGCAGCAGAAATGGCCTTCTTAGGAAAAGATGCCAGGCTATAGAGTAGAAAGCTGCACAGAGGGTTGATCGACAGAAAAGATGGGGGTAGGGGATGGTGCCCCAGACAGAAGGGGACAGCACGCCTAGAGGCAGGAAGGAGGGTGACACCTCAAGGAACCCATGGAGGCCAAGTATGGGTCATGGTATGACTTACTAAATTAGCAGGTGTGGGAGGGCCGAAGATGAGACTGGAGGGTCTGCATGGCCCGTCACACGGAGCCCAGGTTTACGCCAACAGTGTTGGGAGCTAAAGAGGGTTTTTCTATAGCCAGTCCCCTGCCGCATGCACGGATCCATGAGATTTTTTTTGAAAGGGGTGTGCTAAAAAGACATTTGGAGAGGGGCTGTTGGCCCCTCATGAAGCCACTCACAGCTAAGCAAGCTGTGTGTGTGTGTGTGTGTGTGTGTGTGTGTGTGTGTGTGTGTGTGTGTGTGTGTGTGTGTGCTTGGTGACAACAGAGTTGCTCGGGTGCAGTCAGGACACCGGGATATGGAAGTGGCCTTTCAGCCAAAGTGGAGGAGAATCAAACAAGCAATGCACGAGTCTCTAGTTCAAGGCTAGCCTGGGCCACAGCGTGAGCTCTGGATCCAGAAAAACAAAACCTTACAAAAGGAGAATTGTTTGGAATAATAGGCAAAGGACAAAATATGAAAGTATCTATTGTGGGGATCTTTAAATTTATGAAAGCTGAGGGCCTTCTGTGACAAAGTCCCATGGACCTATCATGTCCACGTTCATGACTGGTCTCATCCTGCTTTGAAACCCTTTACCTAAAGCAAAATTTTGGGCTGATTGCTCCAAATCACAGGTTCTCAACCTGTGGGTCACTTGGAAAACATACATTTTCCTATGGTCTTAGGACCCCCCCAACCATAAATTCCTTCTTGTTGTTACTTCATAACTGCAACTTTGCTACTGGGTGGTGTCTCAGTTCCCAAGATCCTCAAAAATATGTGTTTTCCGATTATCATGACCCACAGGTTGGGAACCACTGCTCTAAATGCAAGTCTTTCTAATTATAAATCAAAGTACCATTACCACAGCCAAGAAAACACCAGCCCGATGACATCACTATATACATGCCACAATTCAGTTCTCCAGTGAGCCCTAAAATGCCTTTACACCTGCTTTTCTCCCCAGTCCAGGATCCACTTAAGTGTCTTACATGAAAATGTTGGTTTCTTTGTCTCCTTAGCCTCTGTCTCTCTATCCATGTCTGCTGTCTGTCCATCTACCTCTCTCGAAAACACATTAGTTGAGATGCAACTAAGTACTATGTGGTTCCATCATTTAAAATACAGTCTGGGACTACAGCGATCAGTTCCCAGTCCTGTGAAAGAAAGAGAGGGAAAGAGAGGGAGGGGACAGGGGAGTGGGGGTTGTGCCAACCAGGCAATTCATTGATGGTTTTTAGTGCACTCATAACCATGCATCCTTCATCACAATGGACTTTAGAGAATTTGCATCACTCCTTAGCCTCCCCCAAGCCATGGGCTGTTACTAGCCTACTTTCTGACTCCAGGCTGTCTTTTTATGGTGTTTTATCTGCAGGAAGGCCAGCTGTGTGTGGTCCTCTGCGGCTGATTGCTTTCACTCGGGATGTTTTTTGATGTCTGTGTTGAGTGTGCTCAACTTTCATTCCTACGGCTGAATAGTATGCCATGATACGGCCGGTTTTGTCATCTCACTTGCTTCTATCTCCTTGTCTAGACTGATGCCCCAGGGTTTTTCTTTCGCCTGCCCTCACGCTGACTTCTAGTTCATGTTTTGAAGGCTCCAGGTCACTGTCTTGTAGGCTGACCTACATTCTTAATCCATTTGCTTTCTCGTGATTAGACCCAAGCTTGGAGTTTGACAGGAGCTCCGTATGGGGGTGAGCTGCCTGCTGCCTGTGGCATCCCTGGGGAGACACACTCACAGGTCTCTGTTCCGCTGGGGAGGTTCCGGGTCACTGTAATAACTGCTGGATACATTTCATTCATTTCCCTTTCTGATTGGTCAGTAACCTGCGGGGCACCAGGGTGACCCTGTGCGACTGTCCTGCCTCTGTGACAATCACAGACTAAACCCCTTTGACACTGGGATTTCCAGGCAGTGAAGTCTACATACATTTTCATGGGAGTTCTTCTGGAGTGTCACGCTCCCTTGTCCACTGTGGAGTGAGTCCACCGTGGTCATTACTGAGCTCTGGCACTCGCCACCACTGTGGCCTGGGGGGGGGCGCTCATCTTTAGACCAGCTCCTTTGCCTTTTTGTTGCACCTCCATCATTTTTGAAATCCTCTTGCATTTGTGGCACAGTAAGATGCTGGGTTTCTGGGAACCTTCATTCCTCTCAGTGGCGAATAACAAAAGCCACCACTAGAGGGTGACACCTGTGGGACTTCTTGCCTCCTGGTCCCTCACAGCTCCAGTTAACGACAGCAGCCATATCCAGACTATGGCCAAGGCCACTAGCCCCTTGGCTTCCCGAGGTCAATCCTGGAAGGACAGTGGCGCCGTAATGTTGGTCCCTGACAGGGAGACTTGGGAAGAAGAGAATCTAGCTGTGAGGCAGGACTGCCCGTTTCTTGGCAGGTTTGGGGTTGGCCAGTGTCTCTGCGTGGAAGAACCATGCAGGGACCTTGCGCCTACCTTTTCTTGATAACTGGCACCCAGGACTCTTTTAGTGAATGTCCCAGGATACAGGTCAGGCCAGGGGGATATGGCGGGACCTTAAAAATACATAAAGAAGCTGTAGTTGGCCACAAGCTTGACATCACTCCCCAGCCTGTCAGGACAGAATCGCTGCTGGCACCAGAGGGAGTGATGGGTGCTGGTCAGATCAGTGTGCCACCAATGAAGTCTCCAGCTGTGGGCAGGGGCTGTCTAGAGCTGTGTGAGAATCAGTGACCACGGTCCTTTTTACAGATGGATACCCTAGCTAGATGAAATGGATGCTCCTCGAGGTTGCTTTTTACCAAGACCTTCAGGGTGTGAGTTTTCTCTGAACAGGCTCTTTACCTGTCAGAGCAAGGCGGTAAGGCTGTACATGGGGAGGGTCTGTGATGAGCTCCTTTTGGCCTGGCTTGCTGATGATTTCCTGATGCAGGAGAAACCCACCCTCAGGTGCCAACTTGCCAGGGTCCAGGGCTATATGGCTTGAAGATGGGTGAAATCACCTGGCTTCCCCAAGGCTCGCTGGTAAAACCCTTCATGCTATTGGACCCAATAGCAGCCCCAGAACACACACAGAGTGGTCACCCATGGTGTCTCAAGGGAGCTGTTTTCAAGGGACCCAAGACAAGTGGTGTCCCAGGATTCTGTCTGGGGAGCCATGGAGTTGAATCCTGAGCGTGACTGCTAAAGTCTCAGAACTGAACATTGTCTGTGTCAAATGTGGCTTTTTTTAAAGCTGGCCATTCATGGCCATCTCCACCAACATGGGCCTCTAGCCATCACCTGTGGGTGCAGAGGTCATCAGGACTCCATTTTTCCTTTTTGACAGTGGGGACAGTACAAAAAGTCACTCCAAAAGGATACTCTGCTTGTGAGAAGCCACTGTGACTCCCAGGCGCTGGCATAGTGGCACATTGCCAAGGTGGAGGAGCAGCGCCCTGTGCTCGTTCCACACGCATTCACCGTTTGGTATTACGGACTCGGAGGGGTTCAGAATGAGATGTCATGTGCTGAGTCTTCTGTGCTGGGTGGGGGTGGGAGGGTGGCCTACAATCTGCCTTAACTCTCTGTTCCCCTGCCATTCCATGCCTCTGTTTTGGCAACGTGGTCTGGTTACCAGCAGAGGGCAGTGGAGGGGTTAACTTCCCCCAAATCCCAGTTGGAAAGGAGAGGAGGGGAGACCTGGTTTGCTGCGGTTCCCTGGAGCCTGAACTCAGCCTTCCTCCACTTTGCCTGGAGCCTGAGCACTCTGGAACAGCTTGGGCTCTAAGATGCACTTGCCTGCCCTAGCCCAGAATATGGTGACTCAGGAGTTAACGGCAGGCTGACACCCTGAACTTCCCCAGCTCAGGGTTCTTAACCAATCCCTCCACCTACCTGGGGAACGGGAATGGGGAAAAAAATGTCCAACATGGAGAACAGCTTTGATGATGTGTCTCACCTCTCTCCCCAGAACCTGGGATCCTCGTCGCCAGGCAAAAAACAGAGCAAGGAGAACACCATCACAGTAAGTGTCTCACCGTTGGTGGGGAGGGCTCCCAGGCTGGGGCTTTGGGCTACAACTGGGCTGTTGCCGTGGTAACGTGGACCGCCAGCCAGGATCAATGCTCGATAGGAAATAGAGAAGTTCCAGCCAAAGCTTGGGTTTAGCTGAAGTTGCCCTGTCCCCTCCCTCTGTCAATTTCCTATTTTGCTTGCTCTCCCCTGGTGAAGGGGTGGAGGGCAGGAGGCTGTGAGGAGGCAGAAGCTGTTTCTGTGTGGTGGGCAGGAGAAGGTGCTTATGGGGGAGCGAATTGCAGGGGGTTGGGTGTGCTGTGTGCAGAGATGTGACATGGAAATTACAGCCATCGCAGGGCTGCTTTTGTGCAGGGAAACTTCTGGAAGATGTCAAAGTTAAAAGCAAGAAACAGCTCCCTACAAATAGCATTTCTGGGAGTCCCTGACGAGAAGCTCCATACTCTCAGGGATCCCCCCAGTGCCTGTGTGGGGATGGAGTATGGGCCCCAACTCCTCCCTTCCAACTCCATGGTGTGCTGGGGCTGGGACATCCCTGGCCTCTACTCTAAGGAGGGAGCTGTCTAGATTCTTAGCCAACAACCCAGAAAGTTGAGAAGTGAGGTCTATGCGAATTTGCTATCCTGGCACAAGTATGGAAGAGACACACACAGGGACTTGCTGTCTTTTGCTCCTTGTCACCCTATTCTGAACTGCTCTGACCACCTCTGCAAAGATAAAACCCAAGTGGGTGCATTGCTGTGGTTGCCCATGTGGACCATCTTGCATTGCTGGGAAGAGAGAGTCAAACAAACAGTAATAGCAGCCATAATACCTGCCGATACCTTGGTGCCCACTCGGTACACACCAGGACTGCTTCCAGAGGCTCCATTTGCTTCCTGCTATGTGAGCTGTGGTTAACAGAATCAACCCTCCCGAGTGACCAAACACATGGACTCTGAAGCCAGAGTGTCACGTATGCCACTCAGAAAGCTGTGCCCAAGTTTGAGCAAGTTTCCCAGCCTCTGCTGGTGCCTGTTTCTACCATGCAGGGAAGTGAGGGCTTCAACGATGGGGGAGTGGAATGGATTGGTCCATGACGGTAAAGCACCTAGGACAGCATCCGGCACACACTTAGTGTTCATTATGCATTAGCGTGATCACACTGTAAACAGATGAGGAGAACGGGGGCTCAGAGTGGTGTCATGTCCAAGCTCACCTAGCTTGGAAGCTTCAAGATTAAAAAACTCAGCTCTTGCCCACTGATAGTGCCCTTCCTGAGATGACTTACGTCCCTCACACCATCACTCTGCCTTGACCCTGCTTGGGTCTCCTGGAAATTGGGCAGGGCAGCTCAGCCTGCTGCAACCCTGCAGCAGCCACAACTTCTCTTTCTAGAGAACCTAGAGGAACCTGGCAGGGTGTAGTTCAGTTCAGGCTCTGGAGGGTGTGGTCCCTATCTTCACACTGCTACCAGATGCTCCAGAATGCCGAAGCCAGATGAGAACTCCTCAGAGTCCCAGAAATGGGGAGAAAGGGAGAAAGTAAGAGGAAGACATTTTCACATTCTAGAAACCAACAATGGGAGTGAAGAGTGTCAGGCAGTGTCGCTCTGGCTAGTTGTCTCAAAGGTACACCGTGATGGATCTCAGCCACAGAGTCAGGCCACTGCTGGGTCCTTGCAGTCAGAGAGCTTCTGAGCATGGCCCCAAGCTTGGCACCAGATGACACACCTTATCATTCCTGCCTGGTTCTTCCCTCTGGCCTACATCAGCACATCTCATGAGATGGTCTGCAGCATGCAGCTGTAGTCCAGGCTCCTGAGACACCGCGTAAGGTGTGGATTCCTGAAAACATCTCTAGTTGGTCTTTCTGGGGGCAAGGACAGAAAGCTACATTTCTGCCAACACTTATAGAGGCTTGGTGTAAATCTGCACACCTTGGAGAGCTGATACTGGGGAAACTAGGCAAAGGAGGGAATGACTACAGGTCACACCGCAAGTGAGAAAGAAAACATGGGACTCGAACCCAGGTCTCCCTGCTGCCAGCCTGGGTCTTGCTCGTGCACCCATTGGATAATCTAACCCCTCATCGCTTCAGGCTGAAGACCTAAACCACTCTTTCCCTCACGTGGTACCCTGTCTCCACACCCCAGCCCCTAGCTCCAAGTTCAAATCCAGCAGATCTCAGCACATCTTCAGGGGATGGGTCTTCCCTGTTCCCAGAAGGCTGAAAAACTTGCTTCCCGATCTCAGGGAATACAGGAATGTGGTGACCAGTTTCCATGCTGTCTGACCTGGGGGCAGCCATTGCCAGACCCTGCCAGGGCAGGGTGCATGTCCTCAGTCAAGGAGCAAGGAGTGAGCTGCTTCTGAAGTTTGGTGGCCCAGAGCTAGTTTAGAAGACCAGGCACATGGGCCCCTTGGCGGCAGTGACAGGGCTGGCAGCCATGCCTGGGTCTCATTCCTGCTGTCAGCAGTGCTGGGCTGGCAGGTGGGGGCAGGACACAGTTTGATTGGGAGTGACAGGCACTAATGGCTGCTCACTGTCCTTAGCATAAACTTGGCACATCAAGTGGATTCGAGTAATGATGACAGGGAAGGCACCAGGCACAGTCTTCTGGGAGGAGGAATTAGAGGACCTTGTGGTCCTCCACTTGGATGCCCAGTATAACCCGTCTGGAGGCATGGCATCTTGGGAGGAAGTTAGTGGCTGGAGGGGAGCTGGAAGGGGGTCCTTTCCTGTCTTCTCACTTTCCCAGGTCAGGGTCACACAGAGTGCTTAGCTGCAGCCTGGGGTACCAAACTATGTAACCTTAGCCCTGAAGGCTGGAAGGAGACTATCATCCCGCCCCTAGACAAAGACTATGCTGCCCGACAATGAAAGCAGGTGCCCGGGCCCCCACATCAGCCCCTCAGGTGGGTCACACGTGTGTTCTTCATCCCTGTGGCTCAGTCAGATGCCTTACCCGCGGCAGCTGCCCCTTTTTTACCTTCAGTGAATGTCCAGGAACAACCCTCATGATCCCGCAGAGTGCCTCAGGCCGAGCAGCCGCTGCAGGAAGCATCCCATCCGTTGGGGTGGGGCAGGGGTGTTTCTCCATGTGACTGTGGCTGAGACTGGGGGTCTCTGAAGGAGTCTTTGGCGTGAGATACACTGGACAAGTCAAATGTGACAGGGCTTAGGATCCTAGTCGGGACCCAGAGCCCTAGTCTGGATTCAGGCCATGGCTCTACTACTACGTACCAGCTTTGTGATCTGGGTTAAATTGCTTAACCTCTCTGTGCTTTGGTGCCTTGCATGGACTGCATGAGTTCACACTTGGCAAGACTCAGGACAAGATCGATGCTCGCTGAGCGCAAAGTAGATCCCGGGCCGTCTGCTGTACAGCAACAAGAGGGACTGAGGCTCCCACTGTTCCCAGCAGGCTTTGGGGGGGCACACCTTTCCTAACGTTGCAGCTGTACACTCCTAGCAACTGCCTGGAAATCACTAGGAGGGCAAAGGAATTGAGGTATCCATGGAGAAAGACACACCCCACTTTCTCTTCCTTACTGGAGTACTATGGCCCTGCTAATGGAGCCTTGTGGATCAGGGACACAAGAACCTGACTGTGAGGCCTGAATGTCAGAGGGGCAGGATCAGCATGAAAATGGTGGTCCAGCACTTGGGAGACCAGCCTTGCACCCTCTTGTTCCACTCTAGCTGCATGGCAGTCACCCGTCAGCCTCCGTGCCTCAGTTTCCTCCCCTGTGCATGCTTGCACCACTGTTTCAGATGGACATTTTTGCTCTGATTTCTTACTGGGCATGGTTTCATTACACTGCGCTCACAACACCCTCTATGCTGAAGCCTCCCGCTCTCCGGAATCCATTCACCTCCCTCCTCATAACCCAGTGTGCGGTGATGCACCTTCTTCAGTCAGGCTCTGTTGGTATTTGCGGTCAAGGGCAGTTCTGAGCCTTTCCCTCCTGGGGCCATAGTCATATTTTTTCGCCTCTCCAGACTGTGCAGCCTCCACCGTGTGGGTCTGGGAACACACTCAGAGAGCAGTGTCCTGCCCATGCCATGCTTGTACTAGACACTTGGTAACTGACTGCCTTCAGTACAGACATCTGGGCACATCTGCCAGAGCCCCTCTCACTTCTGAGTCAAACTCAGCATGCGTGTGAACACGCGCACACACACACACACGCACACACACACACACACACACACAGAGGCCTGCTTCCTTCCTTCCTGAAATACCCTTCCTCTCCCAGCCTGTTTGCCTAGATCCTCCTCAAGTACCACTTCATCTACAAGTCATCCCAGCATCCCCAGCCCTTCCTGTGGCCTCGGCATCCCATGTCTATCCTAATGAGAGATTTATCCCAAGAACCATCATCCCTTAAATACTACCTCTTGAGAACAGATTGCTGTACCTCGGACCTAGTTCCCAGTCACTACAATAAGGAAGCTTTGTTGAATGTCCAGCATTTGCCTGATGTGCAGGAGCTAGGAAAACCCTAGGATAGGATGGCCTCCATCCCTTCACCTGCCCTCATGGGCGAGCTGTCAGCAAAGACAGGAGAGCTAAAAAAAAGACATCGGAGGTGCAGCACAGACCTGTGTGTGCAGGGTGCTGGGAACACCCAGCACAGCAGGAAAGCCCAGCGTGGCACTTGTCATGGAGGAGCTATCTGGTAAACATTCAGCTCTGCCACCAGCCTAACCTGGATTTGAACTCTCGCGATCCGATTTCCTCACTGCGGTGCACTTCTCTACCCGACCACCAGGGGGAGAAGAGCTCTGAGGATTCTGGGGAAGTTTCAGTGGGCTACCCCAAACCAAAAGTGGCAGGCAGTGACAGGTACCCCAGGGCTCCTGACCAGGGCATCCAAGAACCAATACCCTCAGAGTGGCAGAAGCAAAAAGAGGCTGCAGGTTCTCACATCTCCCGGATTCTTTCCCGCCCAGCCCCCATCCTCCCATGGCTGTTCTGGGGCCATTTGAGGGGCCCTCGCCTCCTAGACCCCAAACCTGCTAGTTCCCGCTGTAGGTATCACTCTGAAAGGCACCACGAGGTGGGAAAGAGCAGGACGCTGGGGGTTCATTATTCTATCCTCCATAGGTGGTGCAGGCCTTCCTTGGGTGGTGCTCCATCCCTGCAGCCTGACTTGCAAATGCTATTTCTCACTTGTCATCGACATCACCCGAGAGCCAGGCCCCACCCAGAGCCCCTGATCATACACTCAGGCTAGGCCCACCCATCTATCTGTCTTAACATCCCACCCCCTCCCCAGGTGACTCGGAGACACCATAGCTCTAGGACAAAGGAGGGGTTGGATGGGTCATAATCAAGTCCTAGCCCTCCTTCAGACCTTCTGGGGTCAGCCTTGGAGCCAGCTGAGGACAGCCATTGGAGGGGATTCCTATTGCTCTCTCCCCTTTGGGCTAATGGAGTCTCTCTTTTCTTCCTGGACATCCTGGGTACCGTCCTTCCTCTGGGTGTGGGTCCTCTCAGGAAGGAGGCTGAACATGGCTACAGGAGACCGCCTTTCTATTTGCCCTCACCCACCATTGGCCAAGCCACTTGCGATAAGCCTCTTCCTCTGTGGTCACGGCCAAGAGAAGTTTGGGTGAAGACTAAGGAAAAGGGCCGGGGTAGATCTTGAGGTTCCTTAAAAGTCGGTCCCATGGCCTCTAGCTGCAGGTCCGTATCTGTGACTTCAGCCAGCTAAACATCCCACAAGTCGCAGGCTGAAAACTGTGCCTGTACTCAATTGCACAACCTTTTTCCTTGCTATTATTCCCTAAACAATGCAGTAGAACAACTATTGAGCTTGAATTATTAAGTATCATGAGTCTACAGATGGCAGGAGGGTCTGTGTTTGTTATGTGCAAATACTGTGCCATTTTACATAAGAGAGCTTGGCTTCTGTAAATTTTGCCATCCATGTGAGGCCTGAAACCGGTGCCCACGCTTCCACCCCCAGATGCTGAAGGGTAATTGCACCTTAAATCTGTGGATCCCGTGATTCTTTATTTGTTTTCATGGGTGTGTTTGTGTGTGCACGGTTGTGTGTAGAGACATGTAGAGACCAGGGGAAGATGTGTCATTCCCTGTCACTCTCAGCCTAATTTCCTTGAGGCAGCCTCTCACTGAGCATGGAGCGAGGCTGGCAGCCAGCACGCTCCCGGCAAGCCTCCTGTCTCTGAGCCTCATGCAGCCATACCTGACTTAGCACTGGGGTTCTAGGGATTTGAACTCAGACCCTCATGCATACACAGCAAGCATTCTTACCCACTGAGACACCTCCCAGCCCTGGTCTGTGATTCTTAGTGCCTGATTACTGTTAGAAATCACATTAAATTACATTAAAGCTTTCACAAAGCAAATAAAGGTGACTATTGTCACCAATATGGCTGAAACAGGAAAAATATTGGAGGCTTGTTCTCCATACTCTGTTTTCATGATGGCCCAAGCAGCATCTACTCAGTGGGAGGCTGTTGAGGTCCCTAAAGTAGGTTCAGATCAGGGCACCTCACAGCAGGAAGGGGGTTCAGCCTAGATGGAGAGCTTGGAGAGACCCTTTCCTGAGGCTGGATGTGAGATGCTACCAGCTCCTCCCCCATCCAGCCCCTAGCAGCAGCTGCAAGCCGGAACTCCACGCTGTTGTTCTCCAGGGCACCTTGACATCCCTGGCCCCTTCCACATATCATCATGTGTCTCCCCAAAGGAACCCCACCTTATCCCCCCAATGCTAATGCCCTTTCCCTTTTGGCCAGCACTTCTGGGTCTCCTCACCCAGGCCTGGGAGGGCAGCTGCTGCTCATGGCAGCTGGTGGGCAGGCAGGACAATTCACTCACTGAGTGACACATGTTCTGCCCTGAAGTCAGAGGTCCCAGGGTCTGATTCAGCTGACTTAGGAGTTGGCTGGTTGTACACGGTGTTTTGGTTTGCTTTTAATTTTAAATTCTGAAATAATTGTCATCACTGAACGCTTGAGACATTTGACACACAAACCCTGATTTCCAGCTGACCTGGAATCAGCTCAAAGTCTGGTGACACGGAGCAGAAATCTGAACTGCCCATAAGATGTGTGTCCACGTCCTGTAGACCTGCCCGAGCAAGGCACAGGCTCCTGCCCTAGTTGTAGATTCTGTGTCACAAGGGTACTAGCTGTTTGCACGGCCTTCCTAGGTCAGAGTTTGAGGACAATCTGCCACCCCCTGGGGGCTCCCGATCCACCCTTCCTTTCAGCACCAGAACACCCCACTTTGGCAGATGCCTGTTCTGTGAGGAGAGGTCTAAGGGGGACTCCGTGGTGTAGGGCTAGGAAGTTGAAGCCATATCAACAAAAGCAGCAGCAAAGCCACTCCCACAAAGTAGGGGCAGCAAGGCAGGGAGGAACAATAGCTATAATGGCCCAGAAACTTCCACACCACACCCTCCATCATAAGGGGCAGCCCCAAGCCTGCATCATGCGTTTAAACTGTGGATGTTCCTACCACAGGCATCTCAGTAAAACCTCTCACCCCCGACCCTCAGGTGCTTCTAAGTCAGCCGTCTCCTTGGTTCTTAGAAGCAAATTAGGGTGCTAGTATCTGGCTTCCAGAATGATCCCACCTAGGATATACCAGACATGCGGATGTCACCCCACTTCTTCATACAGATGAAGCACACTATGACAGACTATTCCACACGTGCCTGCTGTGCACCCAGACACGCGGATGTCACCCCACATCTTCACACAGATGAAGCACACCATGACAAACTGTTCCACACGTGCCTGCTGTGCACCCAGACACACATATGTCGCCCCACTTCTTCATACAGATGAAGCACACCGTGACAAACTGTTTTACATGCTGCCTGCTGTGCACCCAGGCCCACTCACCACTTTGCAGCGCACCCTGGTACTTTTCCTTATTAGTATGGGTGAACTTTATTACTGTACCACTGATTTGGTTTTCATGCATGCATTCACTGTACATGGTACTGAGTCCTAGCTGGTTTTCTACCAGGACGTACTGTGTATTGAGCTCATCTTCCCACGCCCCCTGACCTTCTTCCTTCCTCCCCCTCCCAACAGTAGCCATGTTTCCCTAAACAGTTTGACCTCTGCCTTTGTTCATAAATACTCACATATACCTTCCGTACAACCTCTCCAGGTGCCTTTTGTGTGTGATACAGGATCTCTTTGTCTGACCTAGGGTGGCTTTGAATTCTTCAGCCTTCTACCTCTCCTTCCTGGGCGTTTCAAGTGACACCATCACTCCTGATGCGTCTCATTTCTTTAATTACGAATTCCCCTTCTGTTGGACAGTGCAGTTCTGGTCCAGCCTTTTACCGCATAGATGGCATGCAGTGGAAACCAGGCACATACATCTCTGCACACATGGGCAGATAGATCTGTAGCAGTCTCTCAGAGGTACCACTGCTAAGTTGCATGACCTAGGCATTTACAAGGGCGATAGGTCCCATTACACTCCCACCAGAGAGGCTTCCCTCATTGTAGCCTCCAGGATGGGTGTGAGGGCCTGTTGCTTCTCACTTGATGCACTCAGTGGGCGCTGAAGCATGAGTACATTCCACCAAAGTGGCCCTGGAGAGGTCTCCTTTGTGCTCTCCCCACGTGATCCTGCAGTGACAGCATTCTTTCCCATTCTGTGCCCTGCAGATAAACTGTGTGACGTTCCCTCACCCAGACACAATGCCTGAACAGCAGCTGCTCAAGCCAACTGAGTGGAGCTATTGTGACTACTTCTGGGTAAGTGCTGCCTCAGTCTCCCTCCACTGTGACCCCTACAGCAGCATACACCTGGGAAGGGTGGAAAGAGCCTTTCTTGTTGAAGCATCAAGGTATGGTGTCCAGTGTGACATCTCAGACAGGACTTTTTCCTGGATTCTAGCTCATTCCGGTAGTCCTAGGGAATCTGTGTGATTTTCCTGCACAGTAACATGGAAACCACAGCCAGATTGTGAGGAAGCTGAAAGGCAATTCCCTCCAGGGCTGGATGGAGGCAGGAGACTAGGATTACCTTTAGTAAAGAAATCTGAACTCCAGGCCTGCTCAACACCACTGTGAGTGCCTTGGGCACACTCTCTGTCTCTTTGCTCATTGCTTTTCCCAAATGAATCGTGAGGTGGCTGGATGCAGACAGGGATGTATAAACCATCTCTTTCCGTATCCCCAGCTCTCAAGCCCTTGTATATTGCCTAGTGGGTACAGAGTGGTCTGTTGCAAGATGAGAAGCTTCTGCAGGTGTTGGATGGCAGAATGTCACCACCTCAGTCTCAATACACTTAGTGTCACTAAACTATATGTGCACTTAGAAATGACGGCAGCAATAAATCTCACATTTTTGTTTATTTTCCCACCATTAAAATGTTGCCTTGATGCACACATAAAGTCCCACACCTCAAGAATGCCAGAGTCAATTCAGAGCACTATGTGTTGAAGTTACAGAGGCGCTGACCCTTCTGCAGTCATAGTGGTGAGAGTTCACGCCACCCTGACCGTCTATGGAAAGTACTAAGTCTCTACAAGGAACTTTCAGGAAGCACCTGAAGAACAACCAATAAGTGAAACCCCTTTCCACCATGGCACAGAATGGATTGTCTGCCCCGTTTTTAGATTTGCTAAATACTAGTCCAAAGTGCCTTTTCTTTCTCCCAAGTCATGCACCCATTAGAAAGCACACGAAGGTCCACGCTTGCCCCCGTAGGGCGGTGCCTGCTATTCCAGCTGTCCTGCGTGTAAGATAGAGATCTGCAGAGGGCATGAAAACTTTGGGGGCTGTGAGGGACCTGCTCTGTGTGTATTGCAGATGGGAATGGAGGGTGAAAGGTGAGTGAGTGGACCAGGAAGAATGTTGATGGCAGCAGAAATAATGAGTGGCTGCCTTGTGTGCAGAAGTCTTCCTTGGGACTCTAGTAACCAGGACATGCCCTAAAGGGGAGACAAGAAGCTTGTGGAGCTGGGCAGAGCATGCGAGTCTGTCCGCTGTTCGCTGTCACCCTGGGGAACCATACTAGTCCTTCTATAGCTAGTTTGGGTTATATTGAGACATCCTGGCAAAGAAGACCTTGAAGGTCACGCTCCTTTTCTTGATCATGACAAGGGACAGCTTCAAATGAGGGTAAAGGAGTAAAGTGGAGAGACAGTGGACAGGAGTGGAAACTGTGACAAATAGGACACATGCCCTGTCCACGGTAGCAGCTACTCAACTCTAGCCTCTTGTTGCATAGGGGCTATGCAGGTATCAAGAGATGCTACGCTTCCGGAATCTAATGCAAAACGTGTGTGTGTGTGTGTTTGTCTCCGTGTGTGTTTGTGTGTGTGTGTGAGTATGTGTGTGTGTGTGTGTGTGTGTGTGTGTGTGTCCCTTCATCTCTCCCTTTGGTGAGCTGCAGAGGCTCCCTGGTCTGATCTGGAAGGGACCCTAGAGATGCAGCCCACTTCCCGATGACTTGGTCTTTTGGTTCTTTATAGGCTGATAAAAAGGACCCACAAGGCAATGGCACAGTGGCTGGGTTTGAACTACTGCTGCAGAAGCAACTGAAAGGCAAGCAGATGCAGAAGGAGATGTCCGAGTTCATCCGGGAAAGGTGAGACCAAGGCCCAAGCAGTCCTGGATCTGGGCACAGGGCCCACTCTGAGCCCTGGATCCCAGGGGAGTGGATGTATGGCCGTGCTTAGCCCTGGAACAGATGTGGCCAGTATATGTGTGGTATAGCATGGATAATGTTTCTAAAGATTTGAACCAATATCCAAAAATATTCATACTCTTTATATCCCTAATCCCAGCATTTGGGAGTTGAAAAACTGTCAAGAATCCAGCACTCAGGAGGTAGAGACAGGTGGATCTCTGTGTGTGTGTTCAAGGCCAGCCTGGTCTACAGAGCAAGTTCCAGGACAGCCAGGACTGTTATATAGAGATAACCTTGTCTCAGAAAAAAAGGTCAAGAGTTCAAGGTCAACCACAGTTGTGTAACAGGTTTATGGTTTGTCTGAGCTACTTGAGATCTCCCCCCATATATATGGAGAGAGGGACACACACACACACACACACACACACACACACACACGTTTTGCATTAGATCCTGGAAGCAGCCAGAGGCTAGAGTTGAGTAGCTGCTACCGTGGACAGGGCATGTGTCCTATTTGTCACAGTTTCCACTCCTGTCCACTGTCTCTCCACTTTACTCCTTTACTCTTATTTGAAGCTGTCCCTTGTCATGATCAAGAATAGGAGCGTGACCTTCCAGATCTTCTTTTTTTCTTTGACAAAGTCTCACTGTGTTACCCTGACTGACCTGGAACTCACTAATGTAGACCAGGCTGGCCTTGGGCTCAGAGATCCACCTGCTCCGCCTTCTGAGTGCTGGGACTAGAAGTATGTGCCACTCCTGGCCTTCCAGGTCATCTCATAATTAAAACTGTTTCCCAGGCCAAGAGATATAGAATCATCCTTCCATCCCACCCCTGCCTCTATGGATTCTAATAGCCCTGTCTCTGAAGAACTTGGGTCACAAAGATCCAATACGTTGAGCTCATGGAAAACATGAAGAGCTGCAGAGAAGTCCCCTCTCCATCTTTCTCCTCTCTGTCTCTCTTGCTTATATCGCTGCGTAACCTGCACGCCCATGCACAAATGCACCTGTACACTCTCACACCTGCTCACATACACATCTGCATACCCACGCATTCTGGCCTCTACATGCCCTAACACCTAAATATCTGTGTGCCTACACAGCCGTGCATCAAATCCCCACACAACTATACATCTGGGCACCTGGACTCCCACACACCCCTGCATCTTACCCCTACCCCAGTATACCTGTATGCCCATACCCCCATACCTGTGTACCTGCATATCTGCAGACACACACACCTGTACACTCACACATCCCCATGTACCCACCTACATATCCAAGTGTCTGCACACCCACATCCCTGCGCACAGGCAGCTTCACAGCCATGTGCCAGCATGCTCACACACCTCTATGTACACATGCCTGCACATGTGTGCTTCTGCACACCCACACCCTTGTGCACCTATACATGCACACTCACATGCCTGTGTATCCATACCTGCGCACATGTGTACACATATACACATTTGTATACCTGCACTCACACCTGTGCGTCTACACACCACACACCTGCATACTTACACACCCATACATCTGTATACCCACACACCTACATGCACACACCACACATCCATCAATACATTTTTTTCACAAACATATGCACAACTTTCCAGCTAGAGTTTCCAAGACTTGCTGGAAATATTCATTGCAAATAGCAAAGATCTTTTAAAAGTATTTCTTCATTATAACACTAGTAATCGGGTAATAATGCTTTGGCGGTTTTAAAGCCCGTTTTTCCTTAGGAGGCCCATTTTCCATTTGTATAATCAAATCTTTATTTTATGAACCATTAAACTAGTAGGAAATTGGAAGGCTGCATTGTTCAGATGCAAGAAAACAGAAGCATAAAACAGACAAATAGGAAGAAATTGGAGCTGAAGCCTCAATATGCATATGGTTTACACTCATAACAATGTCCTGTTGGCAAATGAATGGTTTCTGTCATCTCCGGCCACTGAGGTCTCTGGGAGCCAGCAGAGGGAATTCAAATCCCTGGAACATTTCTCAGCCCACATTTGGAGCTCTTGGGAAGCCTATTGGAGGCAGGAGAGCCAGGCTGCAGGGCTGGGACTTGTGGGTTTGCTGGGCTGAGGGAAGTGGGCAGGAGGTGGAGATGACACAGGCTGGCTCGCAGCAGAGGCTCGGGAGCAGGTGGCATGTGCACTTCCCTCTCCTGGCACATGCAGTTGGCCTTGTGGCATGATGACATCTGCTTTCTGGAGATCTTGGCCCCAGGGTAAAGTTGCGGGGTAGGGGTCCACATAATTGGGGATGGAGGCAAAGGCAGGATGGAGATGGGTTAATATGAAACCCAGGAGCTTTCAGACAGGCTCCAGTCAGAAGTGAGGGGTGAGCAGTTGTGCAGAGGCTGCAGCAGGTCCTCATAGTCAACCCTCTCCAGCCCCTGCATCCTATGGGTTTCAGCACCCTAGCAGGCGGAACACACATGCTGCAACTCTATGTCCCGGGACTCCTCTGAGTAAAGGTAGAAGGGCCGTCTAAGGTCCTGCCTTCAGATCACCTCTGGTTGCCATAGCACAACTCTGCCTCCCACCGTGGCCCCAAGAGCCTCGTAGGACACGACTGTGCTGCTGACAGACCACAGAATGTGGATGTGCCTAGCTGTACAGAGTGTGCTCCAGAGAGTTCCCTTGGAGGTGTGTGGACAGTTTTCCCCTCTGGGGAAATGCAATGAGATTGCAGCTCTGGACCCTACCTGGTTTCCATGGAAACACTTGCACCCTTGGCAGTGCTTGGCAATTGAAGGCATTGTGGGTGGGAGAGTGGAGGAAGATGTTCTCTTCTTGCTTCTGTGGGCCGAGGCCATCTGGGAATGTATGAATCTGGAAATAAGGGATGGAAGGGTTGGGTGCATCCTGGGCATCCCTGGGAGTCTGTCACAAGTTTCTCTTGTTCCTGGAAGACTCTCACACCCAACCTTGTGCTTGGAGTGGTGCAGATAACATCTGTCAGGAGTGGGAAGCAGAGTCCAAACCATGCCTTTATCTAGTAGTTGTCACTCTTGGCTCCTCCTGTGTCAGCAGAGCAGCGAGAGCCACATGCTCTGGAACTCATACATCCACAGAGGTGTCTTCCCAAGACCAAGGCATGGTCTATATTGCCGAGAAGATATACCAGGTTTTCTTTCTTTGCAGGATAAAGATTGAAGAGGAATATGCGAAGAACCTGGCTAAACTCTCTCAGAACTCCTTGGCGGCCCAGGAGGAAGGGTGAGTTGGGAGGAGAGTGATGAGAATGGGAAGGATGGAGGGACACAGAGGGAGAGAGGGATCCTTACTCATACATCAGCAATGCTACTCACTTGGGGTGGAGAGATTGCTGTAGGACTGGCTCATTCGTGGTCCATGGTAGATCCTCATGACATGAGGTAGGCACTCATGCCTTAGACAGGGGACCAGTAACTCAAGGTGGATACCCATGCCTCAAGATGGCTTTTCACAGCTCAGGATTCAGGCTCATGATTCAAGATTGGTACTCAAAAGTAGGAGTTTTGGTCTCTAATCTCAGCACTTTGGTGGCTGAGAAATGGGGGATTATGAATTTCAGGCTAACCTGGGCTACATAGCAAGACCCTGTCTCAAATAAACAAACAAAAACACTGGTGCTTGTGGCTCAGAGTGGGCACCCATGACCTGAAGTCTGAGTATTCAAACTCCATGTTATCCCTTCTTATACGTATGTTTTCTTTAGTGACCCAGGGTCTCCAGGATGCTGGAGCACATCAGAGCCCCTCTGCACTGTGTCCTGTTGCTGGACAGCAGCCTCTGGATGCCCAGCTCTGTCCCCTTCTTCTGGAAGGAAACTAAGTCTGAAATGTTCCTATCCAGCCTTTGAGAGTGCCTTCAGGAGCCCTAGCCCAGGCCTCATCTCATTCTCCTACAGTGACAGTTCAAATGGGACTAAGGGACACTCCCAACCCTCCCAGCCACACAAGGATCTCCAGTCCAGTGGGAGAAATCCTGCAGGGTTAAACACCTTCTCTCCTGTCTGCAGAGCCTTGACCCTCATGATCACTAATAGTCATGTCAAATGACACAGCCACTGTGGAAAATAGCCTGGCATTCTCAAGAGATAATCAGATAAGTAGTATATGTCACCAATCCTTCCAAGGTTTTTACTCAAATGAGTCAAAAACAAGGACTCAAACAAGTATGTTTGAAGTAACACTGTTCACAGAGGCTAAAAGGTAGAAATAGCACAAATTCCACCAGGAGGTAAACAGGCACAGAAACCATGGTGTATTCACAATGGATACTCAAGGATGTACAGTGGAATAGTATTCACCCATGAAAAATAATAGACTACTGAGACCCCCCTACTATATTGGTGAACCTCAAAAATGGGGTGGTAAGTAAAAGAAGCCAGCAGCCTTGGGTCACAGGTATATCGTTCCATTCATATGAAGTGTCCAAATAAGCAAAGCAATAAAGACAAAGCCCACTAGTTACTGGCAAAGAGGGAAATAAGGAAATTGGGAGGAACATATTTTCATTTAGGGTGTGTATGTATACTGAGCCTGCTATAACAAAAAACGCCACAGACTGAGTGGCTTAAACTATAGGAATTTGCCTGTGCATGAAGGTATACACATCTGTAATACCAGGACTCAGGAGGCACCGATGGGAAGATCATGAGTTTAAGGGCCAACCTGGGCTACATAGTGAGATCCCTGTAAAGAAAAAGAACAGAAAAGGCTTCCATTTTGTCTCAGTTCTACAGACTGAGAATCCAGTGTCAAGGTCCCAGTAGAGTCGGCGTCTGGCACGGGCTCTCCCTCTCACTGTGTGCTTACATACCATCCTCTATATGGGTCGGGGTGGGGCTGCGGGTCCTACAAGGACAATAATCCTACTGGATCAGGGTTTTGCCCTCCAACCTTAATTAGCCATGTCCTCCATCAGAGTTTCAAGATAGGAATCATGTGGCTAAAGCGGAGGGAAAAATCATAAACTTTACTTGATGACCGGGTGATGAAGGGTTTGGAGCCACCAAGGGTAGGCCATTCTCCACGGTGGACATTGTAGACACTTCAATTCCTCACCTTAAATTGGACAATCTTATCACAAGTGATTTCACCTAAAAAAAAAAAAAGGCTCCTGGGAAGTTAGTAGTAGTACCAACAGGGTCCTCAGAGGCTGCCTGTTGTCCCACCACCCTCCTGAGGTGAACCTAGGGAAGAAAGTGTGGCCACAGGAGTTGTTGTCAGGGAGCCTTGATAGTGAACAGGCTATAATGTGCCTCGTGACTGCAGTCTGCCTGGGACGGAGTTTGTTTTTTATGGTTTTTTTTTTTTTTTTTTTTGCCAACTGAATATGGCTTTGATTAGGGCTCCTCGTGGGCTGACTAAAACCAGGCCATCTCCTCCCAGTCAGCTGCAGGATGGCCCAGGAGGGACTGTGTCCCTCTTCGGACATGAACATGGTTAGCTGGCTCCCGGCCTCACCTACTGCTTTCTCAGCCCGAGACAAGGCAGGAAACACACGGGAGGTAAAAGCGGCTTCCTGTGGGTCCCTGCGCCTGGCGTAGCCGCGTGGCTCCAGAGCCTTCCTGCTTCCACCCCTCGGCCTGGGCTTCTGCCAGGGACATTTTGTCCTGACAGCACACAGCATATGCTCCTAAGCTAAGCAGCCTGGTCCTCATGCCAGAGCCGCACACACACACGAGTACACTCAACCACACAAGCTCAGGTACAGACATCCGGGTCGCACGTGCGCACATGCACATACCCCCGTTACTGCTCCACTGGCAGGCGCCAAGTTCAAAAGTGCTGTCTCACATTTGCAATGCAGCTCTAGACATTTGGCCCAGTGCACCTTGAGGGCTGTGCGGGGGATTCGAGGTCTCAAAAACCCAGGGGCATGCTTGAGCTGTCTGACAACTTAGGTGCTCTGTCCAGATTAGATGTCACAACAACTATGCATGCTGGCGAATCAGCAGCCTCGGGTTTCTCGCGCTTCCTTTAGCCCTCTCATGGGAAAGGCAATGAAATGTTCCTCACTCTTGGGTAGAGTTTTGACAAGAACCAGGGCATTGATTTGGCATGCCTCAGACTATACATTGTGATAGCAGGTATACATGGCAGTCTTTCATGTACCTTTCTCATCAGACACGTGTTCAAATGAGAATTTCTAATAGCTTTTCCCCAAGCATTTAAAATGTATTTTTAATCAACACCTATTCATTTGGACAAATAGCCAGGGCCTACTGCGGCCGTTCCATACGTTTGGAGTGCCTTGGGATACTGAGGAGGCAGGAACACAGATATGGGGCTGAGCCCATCTGAAAGTTAGGAGTGACACTCTGCTACCTGGGGCATGCCAGTCCTGCAGGGAGACCTGGAGACATTGTCCAGGATGGAAATCATGCCACTTCCCCCCAGTATCCCTGAGCTAACATCCTCGGCCCCCGTATCCCTAAGCTAACATCCTCAGGCCACCATACCTGGCCCTAGCCAGCTGTTCCATGTGCTCTGCTGGCACTAGGTTTGCAGGCCTGTAGGAAGAAGCCCAGCCCTCCCAGGGCCTTTGCTGACCCCTGTTCTTTCAGAACCATCTGGGTGTCACTCAGCTCCTAGGGCAACACCCCCTCACTCTGTGATGGTGATGGCTTATTGGCTGTCAGTTTGAAGCTAGGATCCGCATTGAGAGGCTGTGGGAGTGGCCTGAAGTGATGGTCAAGATCCCTTCTTGCCACGTGATACCCAGTTGTGTCCACATCATCTCCTAACAGCTACCTGAGGACTAGGGACAGAGCTGAGTGGCAGAGCACTCCCATGATATGTGGGTGAGTCCGGGTTCCTTTCCCTAGTGAAATACAGACCACACCCTTGCGGCTCACCATCCTGCCCCATTTGTATGGTACTGTGTCTGAGGCTCTTTTGGGTTGCTATAAGTGGATAATTTATGAAGAAAGGGGATTGCTTGTGGTTCTGGAGGCTAAGAGGTCCCAGGTCAAGGACTAGCACCTAGAGAGTACCTACACATTGCCCTAGCATGTGACAGAAGCCACAGCATGTCAACAGCAAGGGAGATGGCCAGTGGGGGGCCCTGAATATTTTGTTATGGTCTGGAGAATCCTCACCTCTTAACACTGTTGTGGCAGGGATGAAGACCACTGCACATGCTTTGAGGGGACAGCTGCAGCTCACCCCTGGTCCATGTAACTGTCATGACAGCTCCCACTGTGGAGTGAAATCAGGGAGCCTCCCCCATACAGGTCTGCAGGACTGTGTGTCCTCCTCACAGCTTCCCAGGCCATTGAGGCAAAGACAAATATCCACAGCACAGTCACCCAGACCCACCTAGTCTTTCTCTGATGGGACCCAGACAACACTCTTCCTTCTTCCAGACTCTACAGTTTTCTCATGAGCACCCACCAAGGCCAGGCTAGTGCTGCCACCAGCCATGTAGGAAACTGGATCACAGGGGCAGATCTGCTACTAGCTGCTGCCTTGGAATCTGGAAGCAGCATTTCCAGTGCTCTGCCCCAGAGGGCTGTCTTCTAATCAGCTTTTGTCACTAAAGTTTAATGAATTCCCCAGGGCGAACAGTTTTTGCATGAAATAAAGTCACCTGGCTTCATGACAGGTCTGAAGAAGGAATCAAGGGTCTGATTTAGAATAGTCATGGGGCCAAAAGGTTCAGATAATGAATTCTGTGTCTTGGGGCCTTTGGAAGTCTACAGCCCTTCTGGAGAAGCCTTCTGTTTGGAGCATCTCTTTGGAGCAGAGAGATGGCACAGTTTGGAGTGCTCAGTGTGGCCACAGTGGGGTGCATCATCCAGAATCTGCTAGAGAGAAGCCATGCCTCTGCAGATGGTTAGGAGAGCCTTCTCAGTGTGTGGCTGCACCTGGGATGTCCCTGGACCCAAGCGGACCATCTGTGCCTCTCCTGGAGGCCAAGTGGCTAAGACCTGTGCGAGGGAAGGGCCTCAGAAACCAATCTGGTTTTCTCCCTTTAGATATTAGCATGTATTTGTCATCTCAGCGACAAACCAGGGTGTGCAAGGGCCTGGATTCCAGGCATTTCTCCTGCCACTGAGATGTTTGCTGTTCTCTTAGATCCAGAGACAAGGCTGGCTCACCTTGTCCTTGGTGGCTGTGTGTAGTCTCATTCAAGCCTACAGTCTTGAGTGTTCTGTATCACCTCAAGTCGTGGAGCCTAGAACCACCATCCATCCCTTCTTAGGGAGGGCTGTAGCTCTGGACCAGAGCCCTCTGCCCCACCCCCTGCAATCTAACAGCCCCTTCCTGTTGCAGCTCCCTGGGGGAAGCGTGGGCCCAAGTGAAGAAGAGCCTGGCCGATGAGGCTGAAGTTCATCTCAAGTTCTCCGCCAAGGTAACCGGCCCCCTTCCCCCAGAGTTAGACCAGGACGCGCTGACAGCCGGTGACCAGCTCTTTATAGCTTATATTGCTTTCCATTTTCCATGGTACCAAATCCTTGAATACAGATTGGAAGGAGATACCCATAGCTCCCCTTTACACAGTCTCCATTGAACAAACAGCAGCGGAAGGGACCAGAAGTGTGCCAAGAGCACAGATAAGAGCATGGTGTAGGTGTTGGGAAAGGATGTAAGTCTAAGTTTGTGACAATTATGCTTACTGTAGTGTGAGTTGGTTTAATTTCTTTTTAAATCGTGGCCATTTAAGCAAGAAGCTCACCATCCCCTCCTGCCCCAGGCTTTCAGCTCTGTTCCGCCACAGGATTTCTCCCATGTTTCCAAACAAACCTGTTGTCTCTTCTCCCTGGCTTATATCTCCACGTTTTCTCTCAGGCTCTTGGCTCCTTTTAAGTGAAAACTAAACTAAACGTCTCCTGAGATAATTCACACTAAAGCACGTGTGACTGATAGGCCTGCCCATTGGCATGCCTTCCTTTTAAAGAAAGAGAGGCCTTTGGCAGTGTCACCATCAACTTGACAGACTCCCTCTTCCCCTGACCTCCTGCCATCAGCCGTCAATCACCACAGCCCTAGGAGCTACCTATTCAAGTGCTGGAACACCCTGTGTTTAAGTACCAACGTTGTCACTTGAAAGTAGTGTCCTCCATGACGCTGTTCCTTCCGGAGGCTTCTACAGTTGCTGCTAAGCAGCCATTTCTTTGCAGCGCTGTTCCCATTTGCCATTGCAGTTCCCTGCATCGAGGTCCTGTGCAGTGTGCACTCTTGAAGGACAGGAATATGTCACTTTGCCACAGTAGGATGGACTGACTGGCTCAGAGGGCTGAGACCACGGGAGAGCTTCACAGGGAACAGTGAGGGCGAACTTCACAGGGAACAGTGCCTCGTCTGGCTCCTGCCTTCTGAAGGGTGTGAGTGCCTGAGATGGAGCTGGCAACCCCATGCGAGTGAGATTCCCAGCTCAAAGGAGCACACTCACCCCATGCATCCAAGCCCTTCCCCAGCACATTGGCTTAAGAGGCCCTGCGAGGAGGGAGCTCCCTGAGCTGCTGCCTTCAGCGCCACCGCAGACGAAGCAGCAGGTTATTTTTAAGCCATGGTTCACGAGCATCTTCCCTCCAAGGCCTCTCTCCTCTTGCCCCAGCCCCCAGCAGCACCTTTTTTCCCTCATGAGGTAGAAGCAGAGGCCTCCAACAAGAGGCAAATGGGTTCTATCTCCAGCATTATACACAGGAAGAAACCTAACACGAAGGAGCTCCTGCCCTCGGAGGGAGTACTAACGGTGGGGTGTAGGCTGATTTCCCAAACACTCAGGCCGTTTTAAGCAAGGTACACAAGCTCGCAGACCCCAGCACTAAGGATAGCTCATAGAGAAGTGATGTGCAAACATGAGGCACAAACTTTACACCATCAGCAATTCTGCTGCTTCTGGCCCCGGGTGTGTTGGTGGCTCTAGGCTATCCCAGTAGCCTCCTAATCATGGCCTGGTGATTTTTTTTAAGAGGAAGGGGACTCTGAGGATTGATTTGTCAGCCTTGAAGAATATGGTTCCTGAGGCACAAAACCTATTTTATGTCAGCTCCAAAAGGTTTGTTGAAATTCTTCTCCATCCGAATGCTCAGTGTCGAGGGTAAAAGCCTTTTAAGAAATGGGATTGCACACGGCACACTCTCAAGCTTTGCCAGTCTCTAGCTCAAGCCGGTGCTAATAGCAACAGCAATCTCAAGAAATGAGCTCGCTCTATTGGAAGGCAGTTAGAACCGGTCCTGGTGAAAGAGGGGAGAATAGACACATTCCTCCTGATGGAAGGAAACTTGACTGTGCAGTCAGGGCGTGTGCACAGGCAGATCCATGGACAGGAGGATGAATGTGAGCCCAGGACGGTCTCTAACGAGATTTGTGAGCACTGGTGAGTTACTTGACAGCCCCACACTTCCATTTTTTTTCCTGTATGAAATGAAGAGTTAAAACCGGGTCTGTGGCTTTAATCTTGCCTGGCTGTAACCACAGGAGGCATTTCACATGGTCACCAAGCATGTGTGCATACCCACCCCATACCCACTCAGAGACACACATGTGTGTATCTTCATAACACTCTACTTTTATTCTGCCTAAAATGAACCCTGTTTTTTTTTCCTCCATCAAGTTGGGTCTGCTATCTCAAAAACGCAGGTCCTGACCTACCAGGTGGATTTCACAACTAGTCAATCATCACTTGGAAATGCCTGGACCAGAGAGCCACTGAAATCACTTCCAACTCAAAGTTCTTCTTCTCTTCTAACCTGTGTTGTAAAAATAAGGGGTTGGGGGAATCCGTGCCTCCCACCAATCAGTGCAGTAGTCCAGCCCGCCTAGAACAGCCAGACTGGCCACACATTCCCCAGAAACACACTTTAAGAGAGATCATTGATGCCTTGCTTGAAGCGAAGGGCTTCAGAGATAAGAATGAATGTTAAAAAGACACCAAACCAATGTTTATAAAGAAAAGAGTCCTGGAGAAACAACTCAGTAGATAAAGCACTCAATAATGCTCAGTTTTGAGGCCTGAGTTCAAGTCCCCAGAACAGAAAACTTGGCGTGTGGAGTAAAAAGCCTGCAGTTCACAGCAATAGCCTTGAATCTCAGCTGAGGCACTTTGGGTAGTTTGTTGGTATTGTGTGCTGTGACGGGCATGTGCCGTGCAAAGTGCCATGTAGTTTCAAAGCCAAGAATCACATCAGCTTAGGCTCATCACATGTTTGATTTTTTTTAAGTCAATGGACTCTTTATTGCTTCTGGAGTGTAGGGCTCGGGAGCTCTTGGTGGGACAGGTACATTTCCTCTTCACCACCGTGGGCTTCTGGCTTTGCAGGATGGCACTGGCCCTACGGATGGCCGCCATGTGCAGATCGGGGTGGTAGATGTTCTTTCGGATCATGTGCCTGATGCTGCTGAGGGTGGCCCATGCATTCTTGTTGATGGTGGTCCTTACGTAAGATGTGGCTGGTTTTCGCTGACTGGATCTGCATTTCATGGCCACCACGACCCCTTTGCCATTGGTACGGGCTCCACTCCCATAGTCTTGTGGTGAATCAGCCTGTTGCAGCAGAAGAAGTTGCGGGCCTACAGATTATTGGGTTCGGTGCTGTAGGTCTGCTTATTCCTCTTGATCAGAAAACTGGAGCAGCTCTGAACGACATCCATTGCAGATGGGCAGACATGGCAGTGGCTCCTGTCCCTGTGGCGGCTGGAGACACAGAGAGGCACGTTTGATTTTTGGATGAACTTTTGGTTGTTGAATGTGCATAAACCTTGCACTGTTAACAAGTTCTTGTACGACCACATTCAGTTTTATGTCCCCATTAGGGGGTGCAACCCAGCTTAAGATGCTGGGGGTTAAAATAAAGAACACTCAAGTCTTGGGTGATCTCCAGGAAAAAAGACAATGTCACAAAAACTTAAGCTGGAGAAGAGAAGAAAGTCTACAGAACCTCAGAACTGGGAGTCATCAATTTGGGAGACAGAGCTGGCTAGTCACAGACACCATGGGACAGGAGGGGGTCGTGTTGAGGGTCCCCAAGGGCCTGACCAGTGGAGTTACAGCAGGCCGAGTTTGGGCAGGGGCTGGAAAGCTCCAGGAGGTTGGGCATAGGGTGTGGGAGAGCGCTAGGCCTCCCTCTTGACTGACTAGATCCGGACTTGTTGATCCCTGTTCTTACAAAAATAAACACACCATGATTACAGTCAAAACAAACACCTTAAAAGAAATCTCAAAGAGTTGTGGTGTGTGGTGGGAAGGCGGGAGAATGTTCTAAAACCAGATGCCCCCACTCTCCTCACTGCAGAGGACTCTTTCTCGGGCCCTCAGAGGGAACATGAGGTCAGTTGACTAGGGTAGGGGCAGGAAGTGCACCTGGCTCCCCTTAGTGCTTCTCAGGACTGTTGTCCTTGCGAGTTCCCAAAGGGCCTCCCAACAGCTCCTGCCACAATTTTCTGGAGGTCTGACCAGGCCAGGTCACCTTTGTACTCCAGGAACGCAGCAGATGGTCAGTAAAAGAAATGACCTCGGATCACCGGAGTGATTGGCAGCCTTCCTAGTTATCTGCCAAGCTTCACACGACAGTCACTCTGCTAAGTGCCTGAGGACACAGGCAGGTGACATGGTCCGTCCCCAAAAGGCTCCGGATTTGAAAAAGACAAGAGAAGAAAACGCCCAAACAAAGCTGTCCTAGAGAACTGCACGTTGTGAGACACAAGTGAGGGTGCCCCTGCTAGGGTCCTTAACGTGGCTTAGTCACAGCGTACTTATTGCGAGCCACCAAGCGTTAAAGATGGCGTTTTGGAAGGAGAAGAAGCTGTCGTAATGGCAAAGGAAGGAGTGAGCTCATGGGGGAGCTGGAAAGTTCTGGGCTACCCATTCAGTGAACGGCTATGCCGCCCAGGCGCTAAGGTGGCCAGTGCAGACAGCTGATAAAGATGCCCATCTCTTTAGCGTCTCTGGGTGGTCTAGCCAACCAGACCACTGCCCCAGGGCCTGGCTTCTACACGACGGTGGGAGGTCTCACTCCCACCCTGCACACCAATGCCTCGGCGCTGAGCGTTCCCTCCCCACCCTCCTCCACAGCTCCACAGCGAGGTGGAGAAACCACTTATGAACTTCCGAGAGAACTTCAAGAAGGACATGAAAAAGTGTGACCACCACATTGCTGACCTCCGCAAGCAGCTGGCCAGCCGCTACGCCTCAGTGGAGAAGGTGAGAGGCCATGGTGCCTAGCTGGTAAACAGCTGGGGACTTCTAGGACAGGACGGGTCAGAAGCCCGTTGTGGGTGTCCCTGCAGAAACCTGTGTCCTTGTATGATGGAGTGGGGGGACATTCCAAGGAACTCCCGCCTGCCCATGTGGCAGACAGAAGTTCCTACCCCAGGACACTTGAATGACTCTCCCAAGGGCAAGTGGGAGCAGGGAGGAGCTGCAGGGGAAGCGGGGGCTGTGACGGCCTCATGGGACAAGACAACCCCCGTTTCTGTGGTCACCAAGTCAGATGTACCACAGCTGCTCACAGGGCTACTGTGTCTGGGTCTCACCTTCAGGGGCTCCCTGAACTAATCTTCCCTCCCAGAGGTGCAAAGAATCACCTTCCTGTGGGTAGTGGTGGGCGGTATGTGGGCCATGCCACGGGAGGCAGGGCTGCTGGTGGTAGGCCCTGGAGGAACAGGCGGTCTCAGTGGCCTGACTGGGTGTTCTATAGAACATAAGTGACAGACCACTGCAGCTACCCAAGACGGGGCTCCATCTCCACTGAATGATGATAGTAGAGGATGATGGTGGTGGTGATGATAATGATGGTGATGATGATGATGATGATGGTGATGATGATGATGGTGATGATGATGATGGTGATGGTGATGATGGTGATGATGCAGGCACACTAAGGGTTGAGGCTGTGAGATAAGCAAGTTGGTACCCACAGCCTGTTGTGCAGTGCTAGGAGCTAACTCAGGTGACCTTTATGGTCCCTTCCAACCCTTGAGAGAGTGGGTTTTTTATGTTTATTGATTATATTTATTTATATGTATGAGTGTTTTGCTGAAATGCATGTCTGTGTAGCGCTGTTTGCCTGGTGCCCTTGGAAGCTAGAAGAGGGCAGAGGGCATTGAATCCCCTGCAACAGCAGTTACAGATGATTGTGAGACACCAGGCAGGAGCTAGAAATCAAAACCTCGATCAGCTGTAAGAGCAGGCATCCCTAACCGCTGAATCGTTTCTCCAGCCTCAAAGACAGTGGTTTTAGGATCACAGTATAGGCAACATGGCCGCAGAGACTGACAGGTCACAGGCAGATGTGACTGGAAGAGAGTAGGAGAGAAAACCCCAGCTAGGTGCCAACCCTTTGGCTCTTCCGTGCCGGGTACCATCACCCACACAAGCAGGGAGGATGAGCGTAGGCAGATGGGTGTCGGCACCCTGAAATCTGGCTGCAGTCTTATGAACTGCTTCTCAGGGCTGGGCTGTCTCCACCCCACTGTCCCCCCTTCCCCTTGTAGGCCCGCAAAGCCCTCACAGAGCGTCAGAAGGACCTGGAAATGAAGACCCAGCAGCTGGAGATCAAGTTGAGCAACAAGACAGAGGAGGACATCAAGAAGGCGCGACGGAAGTCCACTCAGGCTGGTGAGCCCCGTAGTGTCCTGGTGGTACCAGCCCAGGGAAGAGATAGTTGTTTTTGTCAGGCTTCCATTCTGGTGGCATGGTCCTTCCCGTCTTCCCTCTTGAAATGCCCTCCTCCCTGCCCCATGTCCAAGGATCTCAAGGGAAGAGAAAGGAAGCAGGTGAGCTTCTCCAAGGTCACAGTGAGGGATGGCCAACCCATGCTGTCCATTCCATGGCCTTTGAGTTTTCCCAAGCCCTGGATCTAGGTCCAGAGAGATTGACAGATTTCTCCGTGAACTGTCCCTGTTTAAAGAGTGCAGCCTCCAACCACAAATCCACCTATCCAAGATGCTCCACATCTTGAGGAAGTTAGTTATACTGTGGAAGTAAGCTTCTGCCCTTAGGACAGAAGCCACCATTGAGTTTTAAAAGCATCCATATTTCAGAATTTGCCCATATTGCTCCAGTGAGTGAGCTTCTGCTGCCACCTAGTGGTAGCAGTTAGCAGCTACACAAGGCAGGAAGGTAAGGGGCCTTAGAGTCAAGAAAACAATTTTCGCAAACAGGCCAAGTCTTCGCCATGCAAGGGTATCTCCAGATAATATCCTTCCTCTTGATTTCTGATGAACCTGCTAGAGTTTGTATCATTCCAGAATGAAGTAGCCACCTTAGATGCTATGAAATAATTTGACAAAAATTAGATACATAGGAGTACACCTTGGGTCCAGAAACTTTCATAAACTCCTGATATGGTTATTATGAATGGGGAGGGGACCCAAAAAGGCAAGACAATTATTCAAGTGCATTCATTTACAAAACAAAGCTATACAGCAACAGCGGTATGTAGCAGATGTTTTCAGCAGTGCACAAGAGTATGTTATTCACCTGAAATAATTTCCAAATTCTCTGAATTCACATAAACTGAACCATATACTCTATCTTTAATCTTGTTTTTCAATTAATATGTCTTAGAAATAGCCCCCGTCTCAGTCCCTCTAAACCTCTTTAGACATCCATTCACGTGCATCAGACACTTTTTATCGCCTGTTTCATTGTGGAGCCGGTAAGGGAACTCGGGGCCTTACACATCCTAGGCAAGTACATCCCCACTGGGCTGCAGCCCCAGCCCCCTTTATTGTATCCAAATTTATTTCAGCATCCCTTTGATGGATTTTAGTACTTTGCGATTGCTTCTGAGTGTTTGCTATTGAAACTGTGACTCTTTGTGTATATAAGATCAGATCCTCACACAGAGAGAATGAAGATGCTGGGTCAGAAATTTTGGTTCATTTTGACATACATTTCCAAATTGCTTTCCAGAGAGGGCTCCCCGGCTAACACCTATGAATGCCTCTTGCTTGAATGCTTATCAGAATTGCCTATTATCAAATTTGAAACCATTGGAGTGCTGGAAAATGGTTTTTGCTGTAACTTTGTAACTCTCTATTCGAGGGTTGAACATTCTGAAGATACACTCATGAATTATTTTTACACCCCTGCCCCCCCCACCAATGGACTGAGGAGGTCAAATCCTTAGTGACTGATTGACAGGCCACGCAAGGTTAGGGAGAGTCACCCCTGGTCATTCCTATGGTTATTACTTGTCCTTTGCTCTTTGAAGAAAAAAAGGATAAGGTTTTGTATTTGGTCTTCTGTTTGCTTGCTTGCTTTTGCTTTTCCTTGCCTGGTTTCTGCTGCCCCTTCCTGTGTAGTGCCGTTCTGTCTGCGGAGTCTGGGTTTGAGGTGGACAGACTCAGGGAGGCCTCCACCCGGCAGCAAGGACTGACATTTCTTCCTTCTGTTCCTTTTCTCCTCCTCCACATCTCTCACAATGCAACTGGGGGGAAAGGTGTCTGAATCTGGGGGGAAGCTCTGACTTCAAGTCATCGTCTCTGCAATGAGGAGTGTCTTTGCTGTCTGTCTAGTCTCTATTGCAAGCCCTGTGCACACATCAGCTCTTCTTCAAGATGACTTTGTTGTTGTTTTGTTTCGTGAGACAGCATATCTCTGTGTAGCCTTGGCTGTCCTGGAACTCACTCTGTAGACCACACTGGTCTCAAACTCATAGATATCCACCTGCCTCTGCCTCCTGAGTGCTGAGGTTAAAGGCATGCGCCACCACTTCCCAGCTACAATGACTCTTTAAAGCTACAACTGTCATACCTGTTTCATGGGGAAGAAACTGAGGCAGGACTGATTAGTTAGTGTACCCAGAGTCATGCTGCGTATAATGGTGGAGTGAGGCAGCCCTGCCATGCCATGAATCCAGTCTCTCAACTGACACTTTCAGAAAGAGCCCAGTCTCCATCTCTTGGGCTGACATGGAAGGAAACAGCCTTCCCCACACCACTTTCGGGTGCTGTAGCTGTTCCTGAAACATGTTCTCAGAATCAGGATGGACATATAGGACTCCAGGGCTCTCACCGACTATGTTCATAGAACAGCATGCGAGTTGCCCCATGGAGTCATGGTGGAAATACAGGGACAGAGATGCATCTATGCCCTGGCTAATGAAAACACTAAGCATAGCTGTTCCCTAAGGCACAGGACTCCTGTTACATCTGTGGTCAGGGCATGAGGGTTCTGAACTGGTCTTGAGTTTTACGGACAAGCCTCCCTGTTTTCCTGCACATGAGTAAGAGTTATGTCAATGGAATGACTCTGAATCTGTTCAAATGAAAGACTCAACTCCAAGCATTCTTAGAATTGCCCATTGATTTATTAGAGCGAGTCACTTGGCTCTGGGGGTTTGCTCACAAGCTGCTCCCAGCATGATGTCCCATCCTCAGTAGAGCCACATTACACAGTGCAGGGCACGTACGTGTGAGCGCCTCTGACACATTCCTCTCCACAGGTCTGGGGAGAGTCGGCTTCTGGTTCAGCAGGTCTGGGGCACACCCTGAAGTCCTGCACATCCCAGGGTCACTTGATGCCTTTGGTGTACCAACTGTGCTTCATGTCGCAAGGCTCTGGGATGCCTGCATCCTTACTAATATTTTGCAGTCACCTCATAGTTCCTTTTTGTTCTAATTTTAAAAGTGTTTCAGATACTTGTGTCATTACAGAAAGTAGTATGTTAGCCGTGAAGCTGTAGTGACTGTGTGTTCAGATTGCTGTTATAAAACGGAATGCTGCATGAATGCTTCCCTCTGGGTCAGTCTGACTCAGTTTCCCAAGGCTCCCATTGGTCTGCCCCTGCTCTGGTGCTCAGTTTCGTACCAATACTGCACAGTAAATGAGTCATGACTGCAGGATCTTATGTTGGGATTCAGAATGCTGTCCTTTTTCTCTCACTATCACACTAGCGTGCACACACACGTACATACATGCACACACATGCATGCACACACACACACGTACATACATGCACACACGACTTGCAAAGTTCTTTCTTTGAAGAGAGAGAGAAGATACTGGGGATTCTACCTGGGCCTTGCATTCACTAGGAAGGCCTTCTTACCCTATGTCCCTAAGTTAGCCAGGCTGGCCTTGAACATCTCATGTAGCCCATCCTGACCCCAAGCTAGCAGTCCTAATGCCTCAGGCTCCCAAGTGCTAAAATTACAGATGTGTACCACGGCCCCCAGAGTCAAGCGTAGTCTCTTCATGACAAACTGAGCTCTTGGGTCTGCGATCCAGCTCAGACAGGCACTCTGCGGCTGCTCCCGTGCTCTTCTTTCATCCACGCCCTTCTCTCTTCTTCCCCCCTCATTCCCTGGCCTTACAATGACCCCCGTGACTCGGGGAGAGCAACAGGCATACCACGGGCACAGGCAGAGAAGGACAGCCAGAGTGCAGACAGGGTGGCATGTAACAGGACATGATGGTGGCTGTTGGCTTTTCCCAGGAGATGACCTCATGCGCTGCGTGGACCTCTACAACCAGGCCCAGTCCAAGTGGTTTGAAGAGATGGTGACAACCACACTGGTATGTGACAGAGATATGCGAGCATACGGTAAAGAGGCTGGTGCACAAGCATCCCTGGGTAGGGGACAGTGGTCATGGGAGGATGGTCATTACATCGCTCTCAGCATTGAAGTTCAGCCCTCGTTCTATACCTGCCCATGGGTACAAACTCCTGCTCTCGTGCTTCCTGCTCTGTGATCTCAACAAGGGTCTTGCTCAGTTATCCTTTGCCTGTCCACTGAAAAGTCAGGATCCATCAGGAATTTCCCCAGCTCAGGCCCTGCTGTGATAAACGGAGAAGCAGTGGGAAGCTGACACACTCTCCCCGACACACACACACACACACACACACACACACACACACACATGCACGCACGCTCGCAAGCACGCACACACACAGGTCCTTGGTAGAGGGGTCCTTATGAGACATCTGAATGGGAAGACTAGGAGCTGTAGAGATGCTGTGATAGAAAACCATGGTGGCAGGCGTGCTATCCTGTGTGTTCCTTTTAAAGGATCAGTTATCTCTCCTTGTTGGCCAGACTGCCTGGGCAGGACAGTAGTGCCTGGCTGGCACTTGGTAAAGTGGGAAAAGGGGACAGTATCAAACCAAGTGTGCATTCAATCATCCCATTGTTCACTGCCACCCCTTCCCAAGCCCTAACCAGCCACCTTCTCCAGGTGCTAGCCCACCTAGGAAGATTAGCATCCTCCTTCAGGGTCAGGGCCTGCTTTTCCTCTCCTCCATTAATCTTCTAATTAAGCCCCCTTCTTTACCTCCCTTCCAGGTTAATCACCTGGACAGTGACCTAGTTCCCCACAGAATAGCAGCCTAATCCCCTAAAGTCACGGAACCAGCTAGAAGCCAACAACAAGCCTTTGCACTCTTCTCTGACAATGACTAGCACATTCCCGGCCTGCTTTGCCCCCTGCCTGGTTGTCTCTGTCCCTCAGCACTAGGAGTGGGTAGAAGCCAGAGAGCTTGAGAGGCTGAGCGCTCCTGCACTAATCCCATTGCCCCGCCCACCTGCTGGAGAGCACCACAGATCCCAGCTTAAATGTTGCTCTTTCTACAGCTCCACAATGCTTTGGACAATGAGGACAATCACAGAACCTCTCTTTGAGTGCTAATAGGGACACTCAGATACTCTGCATGTGCAGAGTTCCATACCGAGCTGGCAGAGACACTCTTATGACCTTCATCTTCACCCTAGAGATTGGTTCCTTCTTCATTAACATCCAGAGGGTCAGATAGGCTGGGGATCCCCATAGAATACATGGTGACCTGACACCTGCTGGATGGGAAGGAAGGACCCTGAGTTAGGGACAGGTTCAAGGGCCTCTGGTCTTTTCTTCTTCCTCTGTAGGAGCTGGAGCGTCTGGAGGTGGAGAGGGTGGAAATGATCCGACAGCATCTGTGCCAGTACACACAGCTGCGGCATGAGACAGACATGTTCAACCAAAGCGTGAGTTTCCCGTCTATGCACTAAGGCTAGCAGGACAGACTTGGCACGATTGCCCCAGAGGTCCATGTCATCCATTCCTAATACACGTGGCAGGTTCTCCTGGGGGGGGGGGGCGGGCTACCACCAAGGACCAGGAAAAAAAGGCTGTATTTGATTTGGTTTGGTTTTTGGCTGGATCTGGCTAGGCCTTGAATGTAGGATCTTCCTGCTGGGATCACAGTTGTGTGCTTCACCAGCTTTACCATGGTTAAAATAACCAAAGACATCTGTCTCCTATGTGAATTTGCTTTAGAAAGCAACCCAAATATACAGCTTCTAAGACAATGACCAGTGCCCGAAGGCAGGTCTGTTAGCCAAGGGAAGACAGATGGAGGAAGAGGTCCCCTTTAGGTCAGCCTGCCCTCTTCTCCAGCCCTCAGATCTTCAGACTAACTCCACTTCTCACAGTGCTCTGCACCCTCAAACCACCTCCATGGGGGCTCTGGAACCTTCTAGAAGGGCTGATCTGAGTAGCTCTCCAACTGCGGCAGCATGGGACACAGGAGACATCCCAGTTCAGCTGCCACCTCTGACAATGACCCCTCCTCTGTGTCCCTTGCAGACAGTCGAGCCTGTGGACCAACTGCTGCGAAAAGTGGACCCAGCCAAAGACAGGGAGCTATGGGTCAGAGAGCACAAAACAGGCAACATTCGCCCAGTGGACATGGAGATCTAGACATGCCTGTGCGGTCCTGGGGGGTCCTGCTGGGAGAGGGGCTGGGGGTTCCATGGAGAAGGGATGGATCTGCCCTGTTACCTGCTGACCTGTCCACAGAGAAGGAGGAAAAGAGCCGGTGATGCGAGAAAGAGGGCCCAGCCAGGGCCTCCCCAATTGCCCCAGCCATAAAGATGGACTCATAGCCCTGACTCCACCTCTAAGACTGAAGCCTCCCCTCCAACTTCCATGCTGTGCTTGCCAACTCTGAGAACAAACTGAGGCTACAACCCTGGGGTCCCTGCTAAGTTCCACGGGGGGCGGGCATCACATTTCTGAGACCCAGGTATCCAGGGCCTGTCCTCAAGCTGGCTTCTCATCTCCAGGGCTACAGGAAGAGGAAGGGAGGGAGGTCTCTGTCTCCGAACAATGCCAGGATCAGAATCAAGGATAGGAGGCATTCAACAGTCCACAGCCTGCACCCACAACTTTTCTCAGCCCTCCCTACTTTTCCCCCACTGCATTCTGGGAGCCCATATCTATTTTTTCATCCCTCTACACAAGGCTGGTGGAGGGGTGTCTTCTCAACCCAACTCTGGAGAGGTCAGGACAGAACTACCTCAGTTGGCACCACCAGATCATGGCTCCTGTCCGTTTCAGATCAGGCACTGGCTGTAAAGTCTACCAAGGAAGTCCCAATCTGCCCTTCCTTTTAGACTCTTTCTCAAGGAGGAAGCTCCCCACTCTCACTCTGACACCCCTTCCCAGACTCAATAGAAGATGTTTTCAAAGTCCTCAGACAGCTGTGTGCATATTCAAAGGCTTTGGGGGCAGAATCTCGGAAAGTCTTGTCTGCCACATGCCCGCTGCCCCCCCCAACACTATGGCAGCCTTGTCCAGAGCTCTGCCACACTGCCAAACACAGGTCATGTGGGATGGCGGTCAGGGTCAGTGTTGGTTATTCTCTGATGGCTCCGTCTCTGGATATGCATGGTGGGGGAGGAGCTGATGTCCTCCTTGCTGGCACTGGAGAGTAGCGCAGATTTTGTGGCTATAGGTTATTGCCACCAAGAAGAAGGAACTTGTCACATAGTGAGAAGGGGGCCAGATTCTAGGTGGGAACTTGTGCCCTGGGAGGGAGGTCATCCTTCTTCATCTTCCCACAGGTGACTTTGTATTTGACTTGTTTATCTCCCCAAGGGGCAGAACCCTGCAAGCGCAGCTCACAACTTTCCATCTTACATGCTAATAGCAGGGAGTTTACTAATCTCGACCTTTTTGGTGCCCCATCCCCAGAACCATCTCTCAGGGTTCTTAGGAGGATGCCTGACACACTAAAGCAAACTAAGCATTGTCACTTTTCTTACTGACAAATCTCCACCACAGAGGACATTTCACCAACCCGTGCTCCAGGACTCAGCATGAACCATGACACCAGCTATCAATATTAGGATATTATTTCCCAGTTTCTGTTAAAAAATGGGTGCTGTGGTTTAGCAACCTAATTTGTGAGTGATGGTCTTGTCACACATCGGGGTTTTGGGTACCACAATGTGGCTCATAACTTACCTGCATCCAAAGGGTTCAGAGTCCTCTGAGCTATCACTTGCTCCAGCAAAACCCCAGTTAGCTGATATGAGCCAATTCATTCTGAGGCCATTCCTTCCCCATTGCCACCTCACCTCCTTTTTAATCTGTCCACGTACGCCTTTTTCTCCTCCCCCTTCCTCCGGTTGTTCACTCATGAAGCATTTTGGTACAGATAAGCAGCATATAATCTAGCTGAGGACAGGCTGCGGCTCTGTCATCCAAGCAAGCCCTCAAACCTGTCTTGTGTAGACTCGCCTCTTCCTGAGATAATATCAGCTCTCCCTCTCTGCCCGCCTGAGTTCTCAGAGGTACTGAATGTATGCTGGGGTTTCTGCATCCGCTCATTCTGCACACTCATTTTCTCAGTGACTACTTTGGGTGCTGAGTGCTGGAACTGGTCTGTGTCTAAGAGTGCTGGAACTGGTCTGTGTCTAAGAGGACATTCTCCAGTCTGCTTCATGCACAGGTAGACAGGTGTGCTTAGACCCTTCTGGAGAGAAGGTACAATCCCACTTTGCACTGGGATTCCTAAGGCATTAACTATGTTAAGAGGTCTTAACCCAGCAGCAAGATTTGAGTCTCATCACCACCAAAACTCTCAGCTCATACCTGGCTCCAATTTCAGAAATGGCTTTGATTGCTATTCAATGCCTCTCCTTGTACTACAAATACAAAGTATGAGAGCATGGAGGAGGAAGGTGTCAGGAAATGACACCCAGAACTATGGGTCAAGTGTCCAACCACCTTCACAGCACACTGTGTGCCAAATCAAGACGATGATGAAGTCTGAGAACCAGAAAGTACGTACTGGAGTCGAGTGTTCAAGCTATTGTTGGGGGTCCTTGTTCTATTTGCAGTGCTGGGGTCCCATCGCAAAGTCACATGTGTTTAGGCCAGTGCTCCACCGCTTAGCTGCATCCAGCCCCGTTACCTTGCTTTTGTAAATGTTGGTGCTTAGGTTCTGAGAGGATCTGGCTGGATTTGTTCGTGGTGGGCGAGCATACATTGTCCAGGTTGAGAGCAGCTCAGCCCTTTCTACCTGCCCGCTCCCAGGAGTGCCAGTTCACTTAAGCTTTGTCTGCAAAGGCCTGATTAAAAAAAAAACACTCTGAAATGAATGATGTTCAAAAATGGGTTGGTTGCCATGACAACCTCTGGGAAGAGCTACTTGTTACCCTTCATTATTTTCTAGTACTTTTGAACAGTCCCACAGGGCACAAGCCATTTGAAGGATGTGGACAGATGCCCTGAGCTGTCTTGGGGATGGCTGTGGGGGTCACCTTTCTGCCTCCACACAAGACCCTGTAGACGCGGGAGGATCTCCACAATGGTTGGTTAAGAGCTAAAACAAATTATCCAAATTTGAGACAGGAGATTCTGTCGATTCCCTCTGGAAAATCCAGCCAATTACCAGGGCAGTGAACGGGTGCAGGAGACTCTTGACTAAGCCAAAAACCTTTCTTGAAAAAACAAGCCAAAAATTCAAAAGGTGTCAAAAAACCTTAGCTTGTTGGGGGGCTTGCTCCCAGCTGTGAGTCACCTTGACAAGGAGAACTTAACAAACAGGGGTCTGAAGACCACGGTTGCTATGAAGCTAAGAAAGGCATTTTACAGATACAAAGTGAGGGAGCAGGTCAGCCGCCCAATGACTTAGCCTGGAGACCCCCTCATAGCCATAACTGCTCACATGCCGAAAAGTATCCTCCCATCCCCCTTCTCAAGATAACAGTGTTATGATTAAAATATAATAAAATTCACCCTCTCAAGGAATGCACTTCTTTGAACCTTAACATCTATGGTCTTGTCAACCACAACCAAGATCGGCATGTCTTCATGCCAGTTCCCTTTTCCCGCCCGATCTAGCAACCAGATCAGTGTTCTGTCCCTATAGTTTTACCGTTTTCTACAGTGCCATGTAAATGGAGTCACACTGATACAAACTTCTGAGCTAGCCATAATTGTGTGTGTCAGTAGAGGGTCCCCTTTCACTGCTGAGTAGTATTCCTCCATAGGGCTGGACTCCAGGGTTTCCTTAGTTTTAAAATGAGGTTTGTTTTTTTTTTTATGCCCTGGAAGTCATAGCCCCAGATCTCCAGTTTGTATAACTGATTCCGAACCATTGCTTCTTACATTCCTGGGGCTCCTTCCCCAGACCCCAGCTGTGCCCTTGAGTGATCCTGATGCTATACTCACTTTGTTGGTGATTCTAGTTTGGGATCAGTACAGAAAGCAGGAAGGAGTGGCGACAGTGTCACCCCCCTCCCTTAGGGGCTGTCATCTGAGTCTTCGGGGCTTGGTGTTTGTTGAGCAATGACCCTGGGGCACAGTTTGACCCTCCCCTGAATCTTGTGCTGTGTCATCTGCCAACTGAGGGTGCTTGTCCTAGGAGGTCTCTAAGGCCTTCAAATCCAGTGTTCTCTCCAAACCCCAAAAGCCTGTTTGTACCCTGTGCACATGGTCATATGTAGCCTGATGTCATCTGCACAGCTGTGGCCAAAATCCTCATGAGGGACACTTTTCTGGGTAAACCCAAATGGAACTCAATCATGTCACAAGTCAAGAATTGCTTAGTTCCTCTCAGAACCCCCAAAGAAACTATAAGTCAGTATCGGTACCTTCTGGGTCTGTCCCAGCAGCCAGCTGATCAAGTCCTTGTTCCTGGCTGTCTTTGACTTTCCAGCAGTGACACTGAGACTACTAGCTTGTGGTAACAGAGACTGAACCAAGCCCAGCTGAAGTCAGGCCAGGCTGTCGGTGGGGCCCCGTGGGGCCTGCTCCTCTAAACTGTCTTGGTCATGTACTGCTGAGTGAAAGGTGGACCCTAGAAGGCTCTTGTGAAGCTCCAGGTAAACTGAGGCATTCCTAGATTCAGGTGAGGGTCAGAGCTGGGGAGTCGGAACCCAAGGGTCTCCCATGAGAGGCAAAACTTCTAGTACTCCCCTTCTCCCGAGGAGGGGCCTCCTCCAACCCCTCAACCGTCGGTTAATCATTTCTGGGAGAAAGTTCCTGAGGTGAGCGACCTGCTTCTCAAGGGACAGGATCCAACAGGGGCCCAAGGTCAAGGCTCCCCTGTCCTAACCATCTAGTGCTGGGTGTGGCTCTCAGGGACTGAACTATGGAAACCTGAACTGGAGGAGTGGGGATGGCCTTTAGACTCTTGATGGGTGATATTTGGAATGTTGCCCCTTTGTGTCTGCGGGGAGTTCCCAATAGGACTGCAGTGGTAGGGTGTGAAGGGCAAGAGTCACAGTATGACTCCGGGGTAGAAAGAAAGAGCTGGGACCAGATCTGTCACGCTTCCCAGTTTGTCCTGCACCCTAAGGTCACACCCCGTCAGGACTTCCATGTGCTCACCTGTCCCTCCCTGCAGCTTCCTCAGCAGACAGGTGCTTGGACCCAGGCACCAAAATTCCAAGGGACACCAGCCAACCCGGGTGAGGGCCCAGCTCTGTATGTCTTCTCCACCAGGGAAAGAGATGTCCAGCAGCATTCCCTTGCAACCTGAACACATCAGCAAACCCCATGAACGTGGAATTTTCTAACAAAATAAACTTGCTTGTTTGGTCTGTTTTCTGTAACTTTTGCTAAATACTTTATACATTTTTAATGTTGAAAAGCAGTGTCTCCTGCCAGCATTCCTCACCCGGGATGAATGTGTTTATTCCACGCTGTATATCTTTCCATGCTCCGGCTGCCTAGACCAGTAAATAAAATGGATGTAATATAAGTTGTAAGTAACACTGTCAAAATTCTGATCCCAATGGAGGCTGTACGCCTCCCCCACCCCATAATGGCATCTGTGTGTATTAATTCTGAAGAATTAAATGTTTAAATTAGAGTTTAAATTCTGAAGGTGTTTGCTATGTATAATTGACCCACACTATTGTAGAATGTTTTCAGGAAATTCAATGCCATCCGTTTTTTTGTCCCCCTCCTTCAGTTCTGTGTACACTTGAGATGCTTAGATTTGTCCCATGAAAAATAAACTCTCCAGAGACGATGGGTCCCCTAGGGACCCTCTTTCTTAGAAGGCCACATACTTTCCTTCCTACAGATAGTCTCAGCATTGCTCCTGGTCTCTAGACGCTGGTGATGGTTTCAGTCCCGATGAAGGACAAAGGACACCAGGACACAATGTTTCTGGGCCCAGCCTTGTGCCTCCCTCCTTGACTTCCTGCTTTCCCACCGCCTTTGGGGTTGCAGCTATGGTTCCTTTACTCATTCAACCATCCATGTATTCAACCACTGCTGAGTGTGTATTTCCTGTCACTCTCCTCTCTGAGTGCCGGGACTATATCAGTGAATGTACCAACAGCTCTGCTCTGCCTTGGTACTTTCTGGACAACAGGTACAAAAAGCCCAGAGAGCTAGTAAGGGCATCACTGAGCAGCTGCAGAACATCAAGTGTGGAAGGACCAGGATGGCAAGGCTGGGTGTTGTACCAGGGTGATTGGACCAGTCCTGGAGAAAAGGTCTCACTTGATTAGGCACAAGCAGGCAAGGGAGGGAGCCTGACAAGCTTCAGGGAAGAAAGTTCTAGGCCAGTGGTTCTCACCGTGTGGGTTGCAACACTTATGAGGATCAAACAACCCTTTCACAGGGGTTGCATATCAGATATCCTGCATATCAGATATTTACAATTCATAACAGTAGTAAAATTAAAGTTATGAAGCAGTAATGGAATAATTTTATGGTGGGGGTCACCAAAACATGAAGAGTTGCGGCATTTAGAAAGGTTGAGAACCACTGTTTTAGACCAAGAGGAAGCCATGCTAAATGTTTGAGACCGGTGTGGCAGTTTCAGTGGAGAAAGCTGGGAGAACCCACTCAGGGAAATGGTGGCAGGATGCGGAGGGAGGGTCTCCAGGGACACACCAGCTGCTATAAACCTTTGATGTTCACCTTAGAGGATGTAGGCATCTTCACTCAAAATGCCATCATCGAAAAGGACACATGCAAGGAGGGAGAGGTGTTGTTCCCTGCAGGGGGGTGTTGGCCACAGGTGGGCTTGGGAGGGCAGTCGGGGTATCCTTTGGAAGTGGAGCCAAGGCCTTGGTATGTGAAAGTAGAGTATAGCAGGTGAGAAGATCTGAGTTTACTCTAAGAGTCTGGGTCCAGGCAGAAGGACAGGTAGTCATTTCCCACGGTGAAGATGCCTGTACTTGAGAGGCCTGACCAGGCTGAATCCCCACTGCTTCCATTCCTCTTTCCCCTGCCCACACAGACTGTTTGAAGCCCTGACTCCGGGCCAAGGAGTGTCAAGGGTCACTTTGTCCTTAGCTCAGAGCAGTGAATGTGGAGGAATGTGATGAGGGCTGGGGTCTGAGCTTGTAAAATAGCTTTGCTTAATGATGGGACTGAGAGCTGGCTTCTAGGAATTCCAGGCTGCTTGGGTCTAGGCAAGGCCAAAAGGAGTGACACAAATGGCCTTCTCCCTTGCAGCGACAGCCTTTGGTCTTTCTTCAGGGCATGGAGCAAGTTTATGGGCCCAACTTAGACTTAACAAATCAGTTCACAATACATCATCTCCAGCAAACTTGTTTGGCTGAGGAGTGCGAGTGCTGCCTCCGATAGAAGATGTTTATGCAGGTTTTCAAACAAACCTCTGGGTCATGACCCCTCACTCTCCACAGCATCAACACAGCTGCCTGTGGTCCTTCCAGGGATCCCCTCCTGCAGGGTGTCCCCCCAGGACATAGCAACCTGAAGTCTAGAGATGGACCCAGCTGCATCCCACCTGCTGCCCCTGAACAGAAAAGCACAGGTCTCCATTAGATCTCCCCACCCATTTGTGACTCTTCACTGTCAGCTCCTTTGTCACCATGGCAACCCCAGATCCTCACCTATGTAAATGGAGAGTCAGGCCTCTACAGTCAGCCTCTTTGAGAGCAAGAGTGCAAGCAGAGATAAGGGAGAGGGCCAGTGAAATAGAAAGAGAGGAGGGAGGGGGAAGGCCTCTGTGATCTACAGAGGCCAGAGGCCAGAACTAGCAAACTTGGGCTCTGCTTCTGACTTTGCTATTCAGGAGCAGTATAAACCGGGGCCAGAGATGGGTCTTTGGAGCCACTATTTTTAACTTGTGACCTGGTAGCCTTGCCTCATAGGCCAGCTTCATAAAGATGGCCTGACACCCTTAAGGTACTTTAAAATAGATGTATTGGTGTATGTGCACACATGTGTGCATGCGTGGACATCCGAAGATAGCAGAGAGAGTACAGGAAAGAAAGCTCCTAAGAAATGAAATAATATCCTCTTCTAAGCTGTGGGGTAAAAGCTCTCTCTCTCTCTCTCTCTCTCTCTCTCTCTCTCTCTCTCTCTCTCTCTCTCTCTCTCTCTCTCTTTCTCTCACGCACGCACGCACGCACACGCACATGCACCACACACAAAATCCTCTGGCAGCACACTGGGTAGAATGTGCAGGGGGGACTCAGCCATCACTTTGATGTGTGACCTAGGTCGTTCCTAAGCAGTGCCTAGGTGGGTAATGTTTCAGATACTGTTCTCCCAAAGGCCCCACCCTCCCACCCTCAACCCGTAGCACACTGTTGGGAAGTAATGGAACCTTTAAGAAGTGGGGCCTTGGGTAAGGAAGTTGGGTGTTTGAGCAGGTGCATGCTTCTGGAAAGGCTATTGACACCCCTGGCCTCTTCCTGGTCCCCTTCTTTTGCCTGCTGTCTGCCATGAATTAAGCAGCTTCCTCCACCCAGCATGCCTGCTGTGACAGACTGCCTCCCAAAAGGCACAAGAGCAATGGCTGACTGTGGACAGAAGCCACAAAAACTGTGAGCCAAGACAAGCTTCTGTTTTGGCATCGATTGCCTCAGGTAATTTTGTCACAGTGACAGAAGGCTCATTCTCAGTGGGCATGGCAGGTGGCTCTCCCAGTGGTGAAGACCTGCTTCCCCCATCAACGCCCTGTTAGCAAATAATCTATACCTTACACTTACCTGCCTGGAGACTTCTGGGGTCTGTTCTTCATAATTCATACCTTGAGCACTCACTCCTCATCTTACATAGCAACACTGGGGTTCCAGATGTCTCCCCTGTCCCTAGCTAAGCCAAGGACTCTGCCCACCTTCCCTCCCAGGGGCAAAGATTTGAATGTAGCATGCCCATGAGGGTTCTCCCTTATGTTCTGGGACCATACTTGAGTCACTACAATATGCAAGTCCCTGCCTTGGGCTGATTATTTGCCCATCATTTATTTAGCAAGTTTGCTATGGCCTCCTGGCCCCCAGCACCATGCCGGACTGAAATTGAGATGGTTCAGTGGGGAAAGATGTTTACAACCAAGCCTTATAATCAAAGTTCCATCTCTGTAGCACACATGGTAAAAGCAGAGAACCAACACTCTTATACATTGTCCTCTGACTTCCATATTTATGTCATGTCCATGTCTATACACACACACACACACACACACACACACACACACACACACACACACATTTTAAGAAGTTGTGTTTTATAGATCTGAGATTTTGATTTCAGTGCTGGGAAGTACTTTGAGGATAAGAACAATTACTGTGCAAGCATAAGGATGTGAGTTCAAATAATCAGAATCTACATAGAAAGCCAGGTAGTTAGGCATAAACCTGTCACCCCAGTATTGTGAGGGAGTAGAGACTGGGCTTGCTAGAAACCAGTCTAGCTCCAGGTTCAGTAAAAGACAACTAACTGCCCACCCCACAGTGGGAGGGGTAAGACAAAAAAGGGATGGAGCAACACATGTGACATCCTTCTCTGGCCTTCACGTGCAAGCACAGGCTCACATATGCACACACACATGCTCAGACACTGCACACATATGTCACATTCACCTCTCCCACACCCACCAAAATTTCCTTAAATAGGATTTCAGCATTTCTTTTGAGTAGCTTAAAGATCTTGCAGTATTAATCTAGCCCTGGAGTGGAAAAATCCAACTCTAACTGAGATTTTTCTCCTCTCCATTCACAGCACTGGTCACCTGTGATCCCAGAGGGTGTGGGGCTTTTACCCACCTGTGAGAGACAGTCATTGTGCCAAGGACAACAACTGGATGTCCCCTGTGCACATACAATCAGCTCTGACCCTAAAGAAGGCATCAGACCACACAGGTTGAAGGCTCCATCCCCAAAACCTTCCTCACTCCATACAACCAATCCTAAATCCAGGCCTCTATAATAAAACAGATCCTTCTAAAATAAGCATCTTATCATCCAACTATCCCACAGGGTACAGCAGTGCACTGGCGACTTTTATGTCAACTTGACACAAGCTAAAGTCATCAGAGTGGGTGGTGGCTATGCCGAGAAAATGAAGAAAGTAAGTTCAGGCTGTACACAAGCCTCTAGGGCATTTTCTTAATTAGTGAACTCATGGTCTTGAGTTCTATAAGAAAGCAGGCTGAACAATCCATGGGGAGTAATCCAGTAAACAGTGCTCCTCCATTGCCTCTGCATCAGCTCCTGCCTCCAGGTTCCTGCCCTGTTTGAGTTCCTGTCCTGATTTCTTTCAATAATGATGGACAGTGTTGTAGAAACATAAGCCAAACAAACTCTTTCTTCTCCATTTTGCTTTTGATCATGGTGTTTCATCATAGCTATAGTAACCCTAAGACAGGCAGAGAATTCCTTGACAAAAGCAGAGAAGGATGGTAATATATATTTAGTTTCTAGGGGATGCTTGGAAAAGAGAAATCTTAGTTTGCAAGGGTCAGCATTATAAAGAGGGTGAGGTAAAAGGACGACATCAGAAGGTAGTGATGTGTTTTTCTTTCTAAAACTTACCATATCCCAATAGTGTTCTAGTCTCCAAAGAAATAGCAGGGGGGAGCCATGAATGGTGCATGAAAACAACAATA